AAGCCTAGACACTTGTTAATTTGTGCTCACTTCAAAGATGGACTTTTAAAAAATACTCATTTCCTGGTTGCCCTCAAATATCCTTTTTCCCCTCATTAGTAAGCTGAGTGGTAACTATTGTGTCTTCTCTCCAGCGGCATGAGAAGGTCCATTGTTAGAAGAATGCCCCTTGAATTTCAATAACCTCACAGCATTTGACATCCTCCGCTTCACACTTAGTCCTGCTGGAACTCAGACACCCCTTACAGGTATAGGCTGTGCAGTGCTGGGGGCAGGGACAGGGAGATGGGAAGGGAACTTGCTTTGCAAAATAAGGCACACTTGCTCAGAGATGGTTGTCTGTCGCCATTTGGTCCTGGGAAGGACAGAACCTTTCCCTGAACAAAATTATCTGAAACTCACCAGACACCAGATGGTAAATTTGCATAAAATCAAAATTCCGCTTAGGTCAGAGGGCTTTCCACCTGCGGGTGTGGGTGTTAAAAGGGTCTACGAATGAATTTCAGGAATTAAATCGTTCCCCCCACCCTCCTAAGATTGTGCATAAAATTCTAGGCCTGTGCGCACTTCTTTCTGGAGTGTTTTCATCAGATTCCAAAGGATTCCATGACCCCAAACAGGTTAGGAACCTTCCCCCACCCAGCCTCCCAGCCGCCACGCCCCCCCCCATACTGCTTAGCATGCCATCATGCTGTGACATGAGTACCACTGGTATTTCCATTTTACTGAGCCAGGGAACTGAAGATCAAAGAAGCCAAGGACCTTGACCAAAGGCAAACAGCTAATAAATGCCAGGGATGAAAAAACAAAAATACTTGAAGTTGGGAGAAAACATAAACCATCAGGTTCAGGAGTTGGCATGAGAGTGTTTGTGACATCAAGTTTTAGCTTTTACTTCATTATCATGTGAAGAAGACTGACCTGTGCTGGTGCTCAAAAGACACCCCAGTGGAAGACAAGCATCAAAATGTAGCACAAAGCAGTGAGTTCTGTAAAAATGCAGCGAGATGCACACTGGTAAGTCTGCTTTCTGTGCTCAGTTTGTGAAATATAGACACTGGTATGGTTGTGTGTTGCGTAAGAAGCAGGTGGCTGTGCCGGGTATTGGGAGATGCATCCTCTTTCAAAACGCTGGAATACACATTGTCATTCTGGTGTGCTCCTTATATTAAGGGATTTCCTATTCATTTGTATGACCAGTTAGTTACACATGCCAAGTAGTTCTGTTATTTCAGGCTTGTTTTAATGAAAACAATGCCAATTACTCCCACATACGTTTTCCCAAGAAACAGTCACTGAGAGCATGCTGATCAGGCAGGCTTGGGTGTACGGCTGGTGTGGAATTAATCCTGGGATATAATTCTTCCCACTGGCGTCCTGTGCAGTGAGAAGGGAGTAAGCTTGTGCCTGGCTCTAAATTTAGCTTTCTCCGCTCCCAGAATGATACGTCTCGGCCAGAAGCCCAGCTTTGGGCTGATGTTTTTTTCCCCCAGCAAATTTATAAGGTGTCAAATCGGTAGAGCAGCTGCCACTATAACTCTTCTGCATTTTTTAAAATGACATTTCAAAGATCACTCTAAAGTCCCTATTTATGACTGGCTTTCACTTTGACACTTAAATCAAGCAGTGTCTATTAAGCCCAAAAGAATTAACCTTGTTAAAAGTTTGCAGTGTTGTTTTTTTTTGTTGTTGTTGTTTTAAGATTTTATTGAGGAATTGGGGGAGGGGAACAAACAAGTTGCTGTCCTTTAGTTCTTCAGTCTAGTTGTGGAGGACGTCGCTTCACTGGCCCAAGTTGGCACCATCATTTCGCTCTTCCTGGGCAAGGCCATCAGTCGCCGGCTTCTGGATGGCCACTCACGGCGGCTCACGCCAGCTGCTGGCCAGCCCCACTGCAGCCTACGCCGTCACTGGTGACTCACAGCAGCCCAGCTCCAGGTCGAGCTGTTGTTCACCATCTTAGCTGTAGAGGGTGCAGCATTACTGGCCCTCATGTGGGATCCGAACCGGGGTCCTGCTTCTCAGAGCTGGCGTCCCAAGCCAACTCCTAACCAACACACCGCTCAGCCAGCCCTGCAGTGTTGATTTTCTGAGTTCTACCTTCAGGGAAAAGCACAGTGGCTACAAATCGATGTTATTTTTTTAAGTGAATCACTAATAATGGTCTGATTTAAAATACCCAAGGCTCCAATAATAATTACACATAGAAAGAAACAGATAGTATTCTTAGGTCTCAATATTGAAGGTTATTGGGCAGTGTTTTTGCCATACACTAAACATAAGCTTTTTGTTACAAATAAAAATTATAAACATTTGGTATATATATATATATCAAGAGCTTCTCAAAGAAATGCAACCTACTCATTCTTCTTTGTAGTAAGAGTCAAAGCACTTAAATCTTTTTCTGATAGAAATTTGAGCACTAGGCGATTCCTAGACCATTTCATCTGAGATGAGAAGCCCAAAACTGGAGAGATTACGAAAGTGACTTGCCTAATGTTTACTCAACATTAGACTAGAATCTGGGTCTTTGGATCCTTTGCCGATGATCTGAATTGCCAGCAAAGACTAACTTTGATGTGGGGCTGAGGCAGTGCACAGAAACATAGTGGGAGGTTACTGTCCCTCATTCCGTGGTCAGTGGTGCCCAGCAAATCCAGGGAGAAGGCCACCAAACCTTCCCCAGGTGACCTTCCTTCCATGGGAGACATTTCATCTCAAATGCTGCCCAGCACAACCCAGCTGAGACATGAAACTAGCAGATGACTTAGTGATGATAACTATAATGATGCAGTTTATTTCACTTCATTACGTGCCAGGTACTCTCTTATACATACCATCTCATTTAATTCTCATAATTGCCCTGAGCCAAGTGTCCTTATCCCGTTTTCACTGATGAGGAGGCAGGTTTCAAAGGGCACCCATCTAACAATGTGCCTGGCACATCGGAGGAGCCCAGGGAAAAGGGAAGGTAAGTGACGTACCCAAAGGAACACGGCTACCAGCAAGAGTTGAACAAGCTCTGTCCACTTACTCAGCCTAAAGGGCCTCTCTTGGGAATATTCAGCAACCTTTTCCCTCTCAAAAGTTCACAGGCCAAGGAAAGGGAAGAGCTAAAACCCCAGGTTCTTTGCCAAACCCTTTGCCCCAGTCTTGAACACCTGTGTGTAGTAACCTGAGTCATTTGGGAGACAAACCGTGAGATGGTTCTGCAGGCCTGTGAAGAAGTATGGGCATACCCCTCATATGTGCATTCTAAGAAGACTAGAATAGAGAGTCCTACAGACCCACCATCAGACCCTGACCTCCCAATGTACTAGCTGTGTGACCTTCGTCAAGTTCCTCAACCTCTCTGAACTTGTCTTCTTTTCTAGCAGAACAGTAATATTTACCTTGTCAGATTGCTGTTAGGGCAACACAGAGTCAGAGCTCAGTAAAGGGTAGTTGTTGTGGATGTGACTGAAGTAATCACATATACAGTAAAACCTTGGATTGCGAGTAATGTGGTTTGAGAGTATTCCACAAGACGAGCAAACATTTCTAATACATTTTAACATGGTAAATGAGCAATGTCTTGCAATACAAGTAGTTTGTTTCCAGAACGAATTATGCTCGCAAACAGCAAGGTGTTACTGTATTACAGTGTTGTTAACCTGTGTCTCGGGGAGTGCTCATCACAGTGGTTTCCCTCAAATGTTCAGGTAGATATTTACCTATTTGTATGACAAAAGTTTCATGGCGCTTATTTATATTAAATAATATATTTAAACAAATATAATTAAGTAAAATCCTCCATAATCCCTCCTCCAGATTACAGTTGACAGTCTGGATGTTATGTTCCAGACTTTTTACTATACATATAGTAAAATACTCAAACTTTAATTTTCATATGAGACCATATGTGGCTTGGATCGTTTACTTGTTGGGTTTCCCGCACTTAGTACTGTTTCTTGGTCATTGCTCTATACCAGGATGTGTAGCTCTGTCTTTCCGTTTAATGACTGTGGCTTCACTGTAGGGTGTGCTCACTATTTCACACCACGATCGTAGCTCTCATATCTGCGGGGTCCTGCTTGCTGCTCCATGCCCTTGACCACAGGGCACCTGAAAGAGCATGTTTCTGTGGAAGTTGGGTTTCTTCCTTGCTTCCTCGTTACCTGGTGCTCCCGCCTCTACAGTCCAGTTGCTTTAAGTATAACGCATGCATGCAGCCGACTAGGGGCTCTGTTCTCACGCCCTTTGAAATTGGCCCTGACAAGACCAGAAGGGGGTGGTGAGCACTCTGGTTCAGAAGGTTAACTGCCTTCATTAGGGTAACCCTGGCGGCTCAGAGCAGCTCTGGAGATGGAACTCAAAGTGTTCAGCAAACCCCAAATTGCTCTCGGCTTCTCTCCACATTCTACTCCTCTCTTTCCTGGCACATCTCTGTTTCCTCGCCCTTTTGAGCTTGCATTTACTGGCACTCTCAATCCCCACCTCTACCCTTCACCTTCCACTTTGTCTCCGCTCCCTCCTGCTCGGTTGCTCTTTCATGACGCATTTCAGTAAAGTACCTAGGTTATAATGTTGTAGCTCTATTAATAGAATGTCAGGAGTGTTAGTAAACCAGGTAAGGCTGTTTCCATGTCATTTTTCCATATGGTTTTTACTGGGAACAGGTGGAGCTGGAAAATGAAGTGTTCTGCCAGTGTTTACTGCAAACAGTTTCCTGTATTTGACTGTGATATTTTAAGCTCGCTTACCTCCCTGGGCTGTTATGTTGCCTCTAAGCTCAGCTGGCCTCCCCTGGCTTCATCATAACATGGCTCAAAATACACACTTCTGTGTGAGAGCTCAGCTGAAATAAGCACTGGATGGTTATTAATTGCAGCAAAGTTGGGAAATAAGGTGGGATGTCGGTGCTCAGAGTTGCTGTTAATGGGACTGTTTTATTTACTGGATGCTGTGTGAATGCTAACTTGTTGTTTCTGCTCTGTTCCCTCATGCCTTCCCGGATTCAGAGAGAGGTAACCAACCGATTTTCACTTCTCCCCCATCCTGGTGTCTTAAGTGTCTGGCAAAGCTCACTTGCTTTCTTCATGCTGTATTACTGTCATCACAGCCATCATTGTCTTTGAAAGGCAGAACTTTGTTTTGTTTAACTTTTTATCATTATCATTCTGATGTGTCCCACATTTAAAACAGAGTATGGAATTGCGTTTGGATCCCTTATCCTCTGTTGCTTTTGACCCTGTTTGGGGAAGGTGATGGGCAATGTGATTAAGTCAGGAACTTGGTCACTCTCTGTAATGGCTGAGAAAAGTTCAATTAGTATGTTAGGTAGTAAACGTGATGGTAGTATTTAGGTTATGTACCATGTTATACAAAGAAGCTTTTCATGCATCTTGATGTTAGGATTTGCTTACATTATGTATTCTCTAAAGTTTTGTTGGTAAGATTTAGCTCTAGGCTAATAGCTAGAAGGACTGACGCGTTTCAATCTCAGTTATTAGCCAAAATGTATGGAATTCTTCTCACTTCCCACATCTATAACTATGGTAAGGACATAACTCTGAAATGAAAGGCATTTCTACCTCAGATGTGTTGCGAATTCAGGGCTCTGAATGTCAGCCTACCCATATGGCTGACTGGGGGGCTTTGAGCTCCACTGTTTTATAGTTCTATAGCTCTGTCACTTAATAAGAGCTCCATTGTTGATGGAAGAAGGAAGTTCTGAAATTTTCCTCCTTGAAAGAATGACCGTGGTTACTGCTGGGCAAAGTAAAGACGTAGAGGCAATCTCCTCTTTGCGTCATTAGAGTCCATCTCAGGCAAACTCCTGCCGGGTTGAGGCTGAGCTATCTCCAGCTGAAGGCCATTTTCCTCCCCGAGGATGAGCTGCTGCCTGTCCTCAGAGGTGAGGATGGAAAGGGACATGGCATAGACTGGGTGGGGAACGCTTCCGGGATCAGTGCTCCAGAGGGTATGATTAAGAGAATTTGTGAACTTGACCACTGGAGGTGGTGCAAGGGTCTGGAGGATGAAGGCTCCCTCATCCAATGTAACTGAACTCCCTCATCTAAAGTAATGACAAGTGCTGTGCTCTGTGAGCCAACGGTGAGGATATTTTTAGGTGTTTGCTAGTTCCTACCCTCAGGTCTCCCCATGGAGTAGCAGTTGCTCTGAATATTAACAGTAACAACACTCTCTTCTAGTGAGGGCTACAAATTCTGGTCTGCCCACTGCCACCTGGATTATTGGCTTGTGGTAGAATTTCAGAACTGCTATTTGCATAGCCTGTGTGATCTCATGAAGGTGCCTGGTGAAGGATTCCCTGTGGAAAATGTGTATTTACCCAAGTGTTAAATTTCTGGGATGCACCTTTTAGAGTTTAAGAACTTAGTATCTTCTTAAGTTTGCAAGTAAGGAAAAAGAGTTTACCAAGCCAGAACCTGAGCTTTGTGAAATTAGTGATGCCTGCATTTGGTGCATGTGCCACTGAGTAAAATTAAACAAAGTTGTGTATGTGTGTAACCTGCTGGATTGGTCATCTAGGAAGATGACATTTCTCAGCCCCTTCTCCCATCCCCAAAACAAGATTTTCTTTTTTTTTTTTTTTTTTAGCTGAGCCATTGAGCTCAGCGGCTGCTCAGCTCGGGCCGGGCATCGAACCGCTGTTGCTCAGAGCTCAAACTCTCGAGTGAGCGCTTAACCAACTGAGCCACTCGGCCGGCCCTTCCCAAAACAAGATTTTCAAAGACCACTCAGAAAATAGGAGCAGCGAGGCAAAGAAGAGCAGGCAGTCTTGAAGCAGGACCCCTCTTCCCTCCAGGTTCTGTACAGTTGAAACAAAAAGGAGAAAAAACCCTTGATCATAAAGGGCTCGACATGGGATGTTTGGGTCAAATGTCTTTGCTGCTGTTTTGTCTTTATTTGCAGGTGAGGCCTGGTTTCTGCAGTAGTGACAACTCTGGTTTATAATTTATAATAATAACTACCATTCATCAAAAGCCTATCATGTTCCACACTTCACAAATTCCCGGCATCAAACATGTGTATTTGACCTGAGCAAATACGGATTCTCTGAAAGAAGGTATCAGATTATGGAGATGTAATAAGAAACACCAACAGGAGGTTTGGGGAGAGAGTGAACAGAAGTGAGTCTAGTAGAAAGGAAGGGAGGGTTATTGCCAGGCACGTCTGGACTGTCACGTAGCTGACAAGGTCCATTCATCTCGGCTGCTCCAGAAAGCAGAACTCAAGCCCATAAGCAAAAGTTGCAGGGAGGCATCTTTCAGTTCATTTTTAGAAAAAAAATGCACTTTGGTTCACCAGGAACATTCCAGCAATGGAACAGGCTGATTCATTAAGTGAGATTTCATATCACTGAAATGTTCTAAGTACCACCTGTCCGGGCTACTATAGATAGGACTTTGAAATGTTAGCATATGTAACCAGTAAGAGGTCTGTAGGTGCCTCTTAAAATCCCTTGAGGAGGATAAACACCTAAGCAAATTCCATTTACATAAGCGAGTTATGGGGGAGAGATTTCAGGAAAGGGCAAGTCGTTCTGTCTTGGCTATTTTTGAATAAAGCGTACTTGAATAAAGAATTGTTCATTCGTTCCATAGAGATGGATTAAGCATTTACAAGGTGATGAAAATGCTGTTCAGCTGGAACAAGAAACGCAACCTTTTGTCATCTTTCTCTGCCATTAAGAAATTTGAAGCTGTCATGTAAGATGTCTTAGCATTGACCTTTTTCCCTGGCAGAACTCAAGGCTGGTCCTCTGAGGGAATTATTACTGGGGAGAACAGCAAAAGGAGAGGAACGAAAACAGTTGGGCACACAAGGGCTCAGTAAACAAATGATGAAAGGCAGTCAATTCCTGGTACTCACTTCTGGTACTGTTTACAGAAGAGACACAAGAAGCTATAGCTATAAACCTTCCGCTTCCTGGTTTATAAAAGAAACTCAGTCATTCCCATGACTTCAAGAAATCAGTAGGATAAGACTCCATATGTGGGGAGCAGGGGACCCCGACCAGCACCTCTTTTAACAGATGGCTCCGGCTCCAGTGTTGTAAATGGAGTGAGCTGGAGCAAAGGACCAAAGTGGTTCCTGCTGCTGAGTGTCAGACAGACTGTCTCAGACAGGCAGACTGCTAGAAGAATTTTTTGGAAAAGATAGGACATGTGTTCTAACTGGACCTCAAGAGATCATTTGGGCCAGCTCTGTGGTTTTATAGATGAGCACGCTGAGGTCCTAGAGGTGCATGAGCACTGGGGTACCTGGTCATTTGGGGGTGGCACAGAAGCCCATCCAAGCCCAACTCAGCTCTCTGAGATGGGACGCTCTTGGTGCAGTAGAAACCAGGTAGCTGTAACCCAAGGGCCACTGGCAGCTCTGAGGAGAGACGTGGGGGTGGGGACGCCCCCGAGGGCTCCACAGGTGAAGGCTCCTAAAATGACCCTTGAGCATACTGACCTGCACCTCACACAGTGTCGAGGCCCTGTGGGCCCTGCCTGGCTGTGTGACACCCGATGGCACCTGATGCTCTTTCCTGCCAAACTCACACACATGAGTGATGCTGAGCTTATGGTGACAGTTCAGTTTCCACAGTCTGTCAGGAATTCTCAAGCTGTGGAGGTTTGTTCCTCATAAAGCAATTTCTTGTCCCCCTCAGAATACAGGTAAATCTGTAGAAAATAGTAAATTGCTCTTACATGTGAGCAAAGAGTTTATGGTCTTTTAGGATCATAACGTTGATTGGAAAACCCCTCTATCCGAAAGGCCGAGTTGGGCAAGGTGTTGCTTATTGTTGAAGTTGGATGAAGGGGCACAGGAGTTCATTGATTATCCTTTCTACTTTTGTGCATGTTGGGAAAGTCCCAGAATGAGACGTTTAAGAAAAAAGAAAAAGGCCTATGTACTCTGTTCTTTCCACTCCTATACTCCTCGGTCTCCTGAAGCCGGGTCCCAAACTCCATTCTCCAGGGAAAGGGCCCAGGAGGCCAATGTCACCACAGACCTCTTTGTCACTAAGACCAAATGGCCTGTCTCATCCTGCTCCGCCTCTGCAGCTCCGGAGACTTCTTCTGAAACACCCTTTCTTTGATGCTTTTGAAGCCAGCCTGTCCTGGCTTTCCCCGCCCAGCACTTTCTCCACCCACTCATGGGGCCCTCGGCCTCGACTAGCCCCTCGAGTGTCTCTCTTCCCCAGGATTCAGGCCTTGTTTTGTCTTTTCTTGTTCTCCACACTCCCATCTGCTCCCCTGACTTCAGGGACTACATGTCCACCTGCTTGGTGGGCCTGACCACCAGGTGTCCCTCAGGTGGCCTCACACTTAATGTCCAACCTGGAGCCTATCACCTTCCTTCAGCAAATCCCTCGCTTCTCCCTGCCCCAGTAGTGAGGGTGCTTAGCTGTCCTGGGAGGGACCCCAGAATTAGTCTTGATTTTCTCCCTCGTCTACACCTATCAGCCCTGCCAGCCGGCCTTTCAGTACCTTCCGTCTGTCTCTTCTACCCTGTTCTCATGATGTTCACTCCGCCTGCACCTTGTTCACCCTCTCTCACCTGGACCATCACGGTAGCCCTCAGTGTCTCCTTTCTTGACCCGCTTTGTTCCACCGAAGGAACTTTTTCAAACACATCAGATGGGGTTATGGGCCATGTAACAAGGCTTGGCTGGCTCAGAAGAAGGCCCAGACTCCTGGCAGGCACATGACACTCTGCAGACTGATTCAAGACTACTGTACAACCCCCCCTCCCCCAGCCACACCGCGGCCCCGCACCACAGTCCCACGGGCATATGCATAGAGACTGGGAGCTCTCCCCATCACGGTGGGCTTTCTTACTTCCGTGCCTTTGCTTGTGCTCATTTGAAGGTTCTTGAATTCATCCACTGCCCTTCTTACTCTGGTGAGGTCCCTGTTATACGTAAAGATGCAGCTCAGAGCTCACTGGATGCCCATGTCATTAGACAGTGGGCTTCTTAGGCTGGAACCTCGTCTGTTTGTTTGCCTCTCTGGTGCCTGGTACAAAATAGTGTGGCTCAGAAGATATTTGTGGACGTGAATTAAATTTTTTTTTAATTTAAGTCTTTAATACTATAGCATAATTTCGTTAAAATATAAAGCCAACTGGCTGCTATATTAGTTTCCAGTTGCTGCAACAAATTATCACAAACTTAGTGGCTTCAAGAATCACAAATTCTCTTACAGTTCTGAGAGGTCAGAAATCTGAAATGGGTCTTACAGGCTAAAATCATGGTGCTGGCAGGGCTGTGTTTTTTTTAGAGACTCCAAGAGAAGAAAAATCCGTTTCCTTGCCTCTTCCAGCTTTTAGAGGCTGCCGGCCTTCCTCGTCTCATGGCCCCTTCTGTTCTTGCTCTCACAAGGAAAGTGCCTGCTTCTTTCCCTTGTAATTCTGTTGGTCCCCCAAATAAGCCCCATATCAGGATCCTTAATTTAATCACATCTGCAAAATCTCTTTTTTGCAGGTAAGGCAACATATATACAGATTCTTGAAATTAGGACATAACTATCTGGGGAGGGTCGTTATTCTGTCTCCCACAGCAACCTTTTTCAGAAGTCAGGTGCTAAAGAGCCACACTTTTAAACAACCAATTAAGAGGTGTTTGGATTTCATTCTAAGTAATAGTGAGATTAGATCCGCTATATATTTCATTGCACGTAAAGGGAGTTGTTCAACTTGCCTGAAAAAGACACCTCGCCGCCTCTTACAAATCCCTGTGCTAGGGGCTTTCAGCTGTTTTAAGATGAGTCGAGATAATGTTTCCTGGCAATAAAATAGAAGAGACATGCAAATCTCTTGACCTCCACAGTGAGGAGAAAACTTGTCTTTTCCTGGGAAGAGGTGAAATCCCCAGAGGGTTAGTTACTGACTTACCCACTCTCATGGACCTACAGCTTTCTACCTCCCTGATCATTAGCCTGGTACCCGGAAGGGAGCAGGAAAAGGTAAGGCTGTGAAACAAATTGTCCAAATCCCCTAAAGAAAGCCTGTGGCTCCTGAGTTTCCCTTTGGGAAGATATGGATTCCTGATGGCTGTCTTAGATGTTAATCACTTTCTCCTGAGCCAGAAGAAAATGAAGATTAATAACAATTTTTTTTTAAAATTACCCCTAAGAGGTTGCGTAGGAAAGAACAGAGGGCACAGAGCTAAATTTGATAGGAATGATCCACTGCTTACTGATCAGGGCCTGTTTCATCTTCCCTCCTGGTTACCTTGGAATTGCTACTCCTGTAGGCCAGCCAGCAGTCAGAGAATGTGATGCATTGTGCATGCGGAATGTCTTTGTAAATTAAACCTTGTGTAAATGATGAAGAAAAAAAAAAGAGAGAGAGAGAATATGATGGAGCTGAAAGCTTACACCATAGAATATCAGAACCAGAAAGGGCCCTTAGAAATCCTGGTTGTCATGATTTTTTTTTTTTAATATTCCCCCTTAGAGAAGAGATTAGTCTCCATCCCAAGATTGTATACCTCAGTGGAATCACAAATAGGACTAGAATTTGGGTGGCCTGAATCCCGGTTCATCGCCCTCTGGCTGTTCCTTACAGTTTCTGAGAGGGGACAGACAGAGTTGAGACCTGTATAGTAACTACAGCTCTTATCCTTTGTGATGAGGTCTTATCCTCTGTAGTACAGAATTTAAACACTGTAAACATTTAGACACCAGCGAGGTCCTGAGGGCCAGGCAGGCTTCTGGGCAGGACTGCACAGAGTAGATGGAGTCACTGCACTCCTGACAGTGCAGGGAGGTCAGTGGTCTCCAAGGGAGGGGAGGTACCCTGAGTGGGCATGGAGGCCCACCTTTCTGGAGCAGAGGGGAGAGCTCCTTAGTTGGGAAAATGATGCTGGAAGAATTGATGGGACAAATTTTGGGAACTCCTGAGATCCAGACAAAGGTTTCTGGACTTTCTGTGAGTGACCATAGTGCTTTGAAGAAATTTGGCCTCAGAAAAACGGTGGCCGAACATGGAATTTTGAACAAAAGGAGTTGTGTGTGATGAGACGCTGTGTGTATTACTTTAGGATCCACCTAGAAAAAAAGAGTAGCCAGGGGAAGGGGGGCCAAAAACAGTACTGCCCTTGAGCATGGGCCCCAGAAGTGATGTCTTCTCTTCGTCTCTTGTTTGAGTAATATGTTGCCTTGGTGGTGGTTGAGACTAGGATGGAAAGGCCAGAAGAAACCAGCATGGAAGAAGACTGTGCTCAGCCCTCGGTGTCTGGGCCCAGAGCCTTGCTCAGCCCCACGGCTCAGCCCACTGTCCTGGGACCCTTTCGTGCCTCTGACCGGGGGCCAGCTTTCTTGACAGGAGGTCAGGGTGTGTGCTGCAGACTCCGTGCTTAAGGGAGGGGGGAACACTCGTTACCTGTGATGACCAGGCCAGGACGGGGTATTCGGGATGAATGAGGCACAAAGCATCCTCGTGGAGCTTCAAGGAGTTGTGGGGAGGAAAAACTCATAAACAGACACTTACGGTAGCCCGCGGTAAGTGTGGTGTGCACGGAGCCAGGCAGCATCAGGAAGGGTGCTCGCCCAGCTTTGGCTGAGTCCCAGACCGTGGCAGGAGCTTGGAAACATCACGAGCAAAGGCAGGGAAACGGGAACCTGCTTAGAACACCTGAATGGTGGTAGGGCTGGTGAGGAAGGGCTGGGTTCAGGACATTTTCAGGAGGTTATATAGGCTGAACGTGGGGGGTTGGGTACAAAGCGTGAGAGGGAGTCAGAAGATTCTAGCATGGAGGACACCAACCGACATAGAGCATAAGGAAGAAGAAGGTTGGGGAGAGCGGACATTGAGGTCAGATGTGAACCGGCTGAGGTTCAAGTGCCTGTGGGGCAGCAAGGTAAATATGTCCCCTGACCTGGAGCCTGGGGCTTAGGGAGCCCACTGCGGGGCTGGCTGGGGCATGGCAAGGTGATGGAGGGGAGTGGGGGGCAGGCTTTCCTGGCCAGGCTTTCATGATGGCCAGTTGCCTCCAGTGCGTTGATCCCTGTGCCTTTCCAAGGAAGCCAAGGATATCTTGAGGAAAGTATCAAACGTGGTCTGTGAAAAGACCGCCAGTTCTTACATTAAGAGAAAATGTTTTTAAAAATTCATCTGTGGTTCTATCTACAGACAGTATCCTGGCTTAGCAACATATGCAACGAAATCATTGCGCTCTATTACGAGAGGAGTACATCTGAGCATTTGTTTTTCATAAACACGTTGATCTTTAAACCACTGCCCTCCCATAATAACAGTGAGAAATTTGGCATGGTTCTTTTGAAGCCAGGTAATGTCACAGTCAATGTCCTTTTCATCAATAAAATAGATACTAAAACCAGTGCCAGCTGTATGCTTGCCGTGGCATCTAAGCCAACCTGTCGCCCTGAGCTCTGGGGTATGAGAAGTGCCCAAGTGCCTGTGGCAGGATTTCAGTCTGTGGCGTCTCTGTGTGTTCCAGCCCATTCTGTGATTACCTGTCAACTTCGTCCAGCAGCTGTGGGTCTGATCCCTTCTCTGTTGACACATCAGAGCCTGTTGTTTTGCTTCTGCTATACCACCATGTTTGTCGCAGTATCACTCATACAAATTCATGTTCTTCTCAAACCTGTTTTCTGTTTTATAATCATCATATTTATAATCATAATATTTGCTGTTTCTCTAGGTAGAAGGTTTCTTTAAAATTCAGTTTTCATTAAGAGTTGTTAGAAATTCCAGGAGTATAACAGACCACGTTTGGGGAACGTTGTACAGGTGTACCTTATTTTTTTTTGCACTTCACTTTATTGCGTCTCACAGATACTACATTCTTTACAAATTGTCAAGCCAGTCGGTGAGCACTGTTTTTCCAACAGGCTTAGATAATGGTTAGCATTTTCTAGCATAAAGTATTTTTAATTAGGATATGTACATTGTTGTTTTTTTTAGACATAACACTATTGCTCACTTAATACACTACAGTATAGTGTAAACATTTTTATATGCACTGGGAAACCAAGAAATTCATGTGACTCGCTTTATTGCAGTGGTCTGCAACTGAACTGGCAGTATCTTAGAGGTATGCCTGAAACATCAGTGGAAGTAAAAAGTGACAAAACTAAAGCTGTCCTACTTTGGGCACATCATGAGAAGGCAGGGTTCTTTAGAAAAGAAATAATGCTAAGGAAAAATGGAAGGCAGCAGAAAAAGAGGAATACCAAATAGGAGATGGATGAACTCCATGAAAGAAGCCATAGGCTTGAGTCTCCAGGAGCTGAGCAGGGCTGTGAAGTCAGAACAGTGTGGACATCACTCCTTCATGGGTCGCCAGGAGTTGGAGCTGACTCAGTGGCATGTAGCCCACACATGCCTATAGTTATTTTACTCAGAAATGAATTCCTGATATCCATAAAACTGTTCCTCTTTTACATAGCCATTGACTTTTTTTTTAACCATTGCATACCTGTTTACCGCTGACATGCTGGCTACTAGCTCAGTTACTTCATCGCCAGGATGTGTGTTGGTAAAGGTTCCTTTTTCTAATGAACTAATAAATTTTGTTTGCACAGAGATTTTGCTTATGTAGCAAGAGACAAAGATACAAGAATTTTGAAATGTCATGTATTTCGATGTGACACACCAGCAAAAGCCATCGCCACGAGCCTCCACGAAATCTGTTCCAAGGTAAGGTGGGTTAGGGCGCAGTGGTTCATCCCTCTCTTTTTTCTCACTGCTCAAGCAGGGAAAGGGGTGTGAAAGGGCAGGAAAGTGGGCACATGAGCCTACACACTGAGCCCCAGAGAGGCAGGCAGACCATGTGTTCAGCCAGCCTCATGGATGTGCTCTCGCTGTGTGTCAGGCATTGTTCTAACTGGCACTCCATCTACACAATAAGTAGAGCCCTAGTCCTGCCCACAGTCTGGGGGTCTAATAGGTGGACAGAACAGTGGCAGGGACAGTGGCCTCAGAGATACATAGAGTAATCCCAGCTGGAAAACAGGGCCAAGGAGTCAGGTCATATTTCCTGGAACAGGGCTACCTAATCCAAGAGTAAACACAGAAGGGAGGGTGGTGAGAAACCACTTGGGTGCCTGTGGTGGAAACACAAGTAGCTGAGGGTTCCGATGAACACACACTGACTTCATGAGGATACACAGCAGCTCATGGACACTGACCAGCTGTGAGGCAGAGTTATGATCACTGTCTCGCAGTGGTGAGTGTCCCGTTTCCTTAAGCTGAGTCACAGAGTTTCACAATAAGAACAGACAGTTGGACAGCACCAGTCCAACCTCATTCCCTCGCTCCCTCCAGCACAGCACCCTAATGCCAGCATTTCTGCTCTCCCAGCACTTCCACTGACCTCCATTGACTTGACTTCCATTGACAGGGTCTTGTACTTTTCAGGAGACTGTTCTATTATTGAGTGTCTCTGGCTATTATAGAGTTCTTTCTTGTGTTGACCTAAAACCTTCCTTTCTAGAACCTCTATGTATTTACTTGAGATCTGTGGTCTGTAGCAACAGAGACAGATTTCTCCAGTTTGTCTCTTTGTTGTTTGAAGACATTTGAAGTTGTGCCCTGTGCCTGGCACACGTAGAGGTGCTGGACAAGTATCTCGAGTCTTTCTGCTCCTGGCTCCCCCCTCCTCTAGAATCCCCACGCTGCCTCGTTAGCCACTTGCAGGTCACGCGGTTACCAGGCTCTGACCCAACCTCTTCTGGGCATAACCTGGTTGGTTCCCCTGAGTGAACACTGTTCCCAAAGTGCACGGGTGGAGAACAGACTGTGGGCCACCCCGTCCTGTGACCTCCAAGGATACAATACTGGGGTGATTAATGTTCTTAACAACCACTTCACCCATTGGCTTGTATTCAAATAGTGGGTGGCCAGACCCCCAGGCCACTGTCACCAACTTCCTTCAGCCAGGCCTTTCCATTCCCCAAACTTATGTATCAAATCTTTTAAAAACAGGACTTTTCAGTCACCTCTGTTAAACATCGCCTTTCTGATTTTGTGCTGGCATCATGACCCAGCCTCACAATTCCTCCTGAGCTGGCAAATCCCAGGCCATGGCCACAGCCACTGCCATGGCCCAGGCTGGTATCTGAGCACCAGGAGCAAAACAGGTGCAAGCCACAGTTCTTGCAGGAGGGTTGGGGCAGGGAGCTGTCCCCAGCCTCAAAAGAAATAGCCCACCAGTCTGCTGCTCTGACCTACGTGACAGGGACATGCAGGGTAGGTGCCCATCTTCACGTACTTACTTTCACAGGACTGGAGTATGGCTGTACCTTTTGCAGTTTTCATTTTCTTCATTCATTCACGTAACAAATATAACAGCATTATTTATGTGCCAGGCACTGTTTGAGGAGACAGCAGAGACCAAAACAAAACAAAAAAAAAAAAACCTTGCCCTCTTGGAGTTTGTATTCTGGTGTAAAGCCCTCAGAAACACAGAGTAAATGCCCAATAAATATTCTATATTATTGTCAGCAGCCTGTTGTCCACTGTTCTGGCCACATCTGGAGATGGGCTGAGTAGAGCTCTGGGGAGGAGGAAAGCATGGGTTGGGAATGAAGATGTGAATTGCTTTTGGGGTCACTGAAGGATGAGCTTCTTTCAGTCCCTAAAGTTAAGTAAAGGAGACATTATTGTCCCTAACAGAAGAGAGACAATTTGGAAGACAGCTGACAGATTTAAACAGAAAAAAATGACGGCGATAGCAGCTCATACTTCTGAGTGCTTACACTTAATCCTCAGAACTGACATAACATTATTATTAGGAACAGAAATATTATTATCACCCCATGTACAGTGGAGGAAATGAGACACAAGAGATCAGGTGACGTGCTTAAGGTCACACAGCTAGCAAGTGCCAGAGATGGGATTTAAACGTGTGCAGCAGTCCTCCCTTACCTGCAGTTTCACTTTCTGCGGTCTCAGTTAGCCATGGTCAACCTCAGTTCGAAAACATTAAATGGAAAATTCCAGAAATAAAGAATTCATGTTGTAAATTGTGTGTCATTCTGAGCAGCATAATGAAATCTCACACAACCCCACTGTGTTCCACCTGAGACCTGAATTGTTTCTTTGTCCAGTGTGTCCACGCTGTATTTGCTGCCCACCCATTAGTCACTCAGTAGCCATCTTGGTTATCAGATCCACTGTCATGCTGTCACAGTGCTTGTGGTCAGAGAACACTTGTTTTACTTAATGGCCCCAAAGCCATTCACAGACTTTTATTACAGCATATTGTTATAATTGTTCCATTTTATTATTAGCTATTGTTAATCTCTTACTATGCCTAATTTATAAATTCAACTTTATCATAGGTATGTACGTACAGGAAAAAACATAGTATACAGAGGGTGCCATAGGGTGCTGAAAAAATGAATACACATTTTAAGAAAGGAAAAAAACTTTTAAAATTGTAATAATATATACCAATAACAAAAGATGAATACAAGTCACATTTGACTTCTGCAATTACAAGAGGTGCTCAGAGTGGTTACCATCAGTATCGAGACACTTCTGATTACGGCGAAGTATTGCTTGAGCAACGTTGACCAAAGTGTCCACTTGTATACATGTGTTTAGCACCCCCCAATATATAGGATTCGCTTCTATCCGAGGTTTCAGACATCCACTGGGGGTCTTGAAACGTATCCCCCGTGGATAAGGGGAGACTACTGTAATCTGTCCCCAGAGCCCTGAAAAGAGTACCTAAAGGGCGTCATCCAGAAGCAGTGGGGGAAGTCCATTGCTCCGCGTTCCACTGACCATAGTGGACCAGCAGGTCCCACGTGACCAGAGATATTTGTTTGGGTTGTTTTAGTAGAAATGGGAGTCTGGTGAATGGAAGAATAAATTTCAACCAATTAGGAGACTGTTACTATGAGGGATAGTCATTCACCTCTTATTCCTAGAGAAAATGAGCACAGTTCTCCAAATATGCAGCTCAGTGATTCAGGGGCGGGAGGTCAGGCAGTAGACTAAAGCTGGTTTAATTAACTTGGAAGTAAAATCAGCTCAGGCACTTTACTGGCTGGAATAGCTGAAGACATGTGGTCTGTCACCACAAACCAAAGCTGTGTTTTCTCTTCAGATTATGGCTGAAAGGAAGAATGCCAAAGCCCTGGCCTGCAGATCTTTACAGGAAAGAACCAATGTGAATCTCGACGTTCCCTTGCAGGGTAGGTCGGCAGTCTTCCCCCTTCACGGTGTTACTCTCCATCCTAGCCAGGAGCCCTGGTGCTTCTAATCGCCTTAAAAACCATGCTCAGCTCAACAAACGTGCTGAGCCGTGCACTCAGTGCCCTAGCCTGGCATAAAGTTAATTTTGTGTCAGTAGGATTAGGCATGAAGGACCAAGATGATGAGTTTTGTTGCTGTTGGACAAGATTAAAGAATATTATCTAGTTGTTTTATAGTGCATTTAGAGCCAGGGGTGAGGACCAGCTAGTTAAAAAATATGTGGGTTGATATTGGGGCCAGGGGGGTGGGCTCTGTTTATTTTCTGTGATTGCACCTTTTGTGGTTAAGTTTTCTGTGGGCATAAGCCACACCTAACAAATAGGGTATCAAAAGCTGTCACGTAGCGTACATCAAAGAGACGATGAGAGCTTTAACACACACATTCCAGTTTCTGCTTTCCGATGTCGAATGGGACTTCGATTGATAGAGCCCCAGAGTCTGTGTTCTTATAGAATAATGACCTCGTTTACCTCAGGAAACATAGGACATTATGGCACAGGGGGTGCAATGTGTTCCAGATGACGCAGGTTGGCTGTTTTATGTGTATGTTGAAACTACTGAGAAAGATGTGTTGCTTCTGTTCCCTGCAGTAGATTTCCCAACGCCAAAGACTGAGCTGGTGCAGAAGTTCCACGTGCAGTACTTGGGCATGTTGCCTGTAGACAAACCAGTCGGTATGTGAAACATTTAGTCTTTCCATTTGCAAGTGTTTGGGAGCTCATGGGAGGTATTCACCATCCCAAAAGGGTGGGTCTGCTGTTTCACTCCCTTTCCTTGTCTTGAATCAGGCCACTGCACTGGCAGGGGATCCCCAGAATGTAGGGACTTTGACAAAGCGGGCACATAGTTCTCATTTACCCAGCATTCCAGAAATGCATGACCCAGGACTATAGAAGGGCTCCGCCGTTCTCAAGTGGGGCTTCCGTCTCTGGGGCCAGCATGCCTGCTTTAGTCCTTGTCAACTGGTGGGCAGGTAGGAAGGGCTGAGGGGGCCCTCATGCTTTCCTTTCAAGGCGTGACCCAAAAAACAGTCTGGCAGTTCCTTGAAAGGTTAAACATAAAGTTACCATTTGACCCAGCAATTCTGCTCCTAGGCAGGTACCCAGGTGAAATGAAGACATCTCTTCACACAGAAATTTGTACGTGAGTGTTCATAGCAGCATCATTTGTAATAGTCAAAAAATGGAAACAACTCAAATGTCCATCAACTGATGAATAAAATGTGATACTGCCATACAATAGAATTTTATTCGGCAATGAAAAGGAATAAAGTACTGAAACATGCTACAACATGGAAGAACCTTGACAATATTAGGTTAAATGCAAGAAGCCAATCACAGAGAACCACATACCGTATGATTCCATTTGTATGAAATGTCCCAAATAGCCAGATCTCTAGAGATATAAAGTAAATAAGGAGGAAATGGATGACTCCTAAAAGGTACAGGGTTTCTTTTTGGGACAATGAAAATTTTCTAAACTTGATTGTGGTAAAGGTTGCACAACTCTATGAATATACTAAAAACCGTTGAATTATATACTTTAAATGAGTGACTTGTATGTTTTGTGAATTATATCTCAAAGTTGTTATTTCCATCCCCACCCCTGCAAAAAAACCAGCTGTGGGAACACCCAGCAAAAGTGCCCCATTGACTAGCACACACAACCCTTGTAAAGGTGCCACCACACTTGGCCTTATTTAAATAACAAAGTAAGATAAGAAAGATGGGGTATTCTGCCTTCCGTTGGGTCCCCTTTTCCAAGGCTCTGTGCTTAGAAAAAAGGTCGCATTTGCCTGAGGACTATTTATCCAATCAGGCCTGGGGTGTCTGGAGAGAGAAAGAGAAAGGCGTACCATGGTCTGATGAGATAGGACATTCATGCCACGTCTCTGCAAGTTCTCATTGCCCTTCTTTCTAAAAAGGCTGGCTTTTCTATTTTAAGCGAACATAGAAATGAAAACGTCTTCTGGGGCCATTAAAGAAAAGATCGGGTTAAGAGTGGTAAATAGCTTTCGGACCTTTCACAGCGATCCCTTCCATCCATAGGAATGGATACCCTAAACAACGCCATAGAAAGCCTCATGACTGCATCCAGCAAGGAGGATTGGCCGTCGGTGAACATGAATGTGGCTGATGCTACTGTGACTGTCATCAGTGACAAGGTAAGAAGGATTGGAGGCGCAGTTTGGCCCATCTGGGTTACGGTGAGGTTTTGGATACAATAGCCTTCCATGAAAGTTAGACGCAGAGCCAAGGCTTAACCTCTGGGGAGTTGTGCTTGCTTATGATTAAAATAGCCTACATTCCAAAAAAAAATGTGCCCATTGTGTCTGAATCTCTACACACCCTTTCTTTCCTCTGGACCCAGAAGCTTCTATTCTGGGGCTCCTGATTCGTTCCTTGTATTCCCTAAATATTCAAGTCATCTGCTGGAGGTGACTGTATGACACGAGCAGTAACTCAATACTCTCTGAGCTCCAGTATTGCCTGGGCTGTGTAGTCGGGGGTTGGGGCGCAGGAGGTGCATCTATTATGGAAAGTCCTGTGGTTTGATAGTAGCAGGGGCTTTCAGTCATCTTGAGAGAGGCCAGCATTAGCCTCAGTTCACGTTATCCCAGTTTTGTAGTTGAGGAAACTGAGGCACCAAGAGGTTAAGTAACTACCCAAGGTCATAGAGCTAGAAGTAGCAGGGTCAGGATTTGAATGCAGGCCATTTGGCCCTAGACTCTGCCACCTTCTGCCTTTGTGAAGGACCTGCCATGGAAAGACCACAAGTCCTTGGCTGCTCTACTGTCCACTAGCAGGTCACCTTCACGCCCAGTTCACCTTCTAAAGAAGAGTAAGATGCTTACTGACCCTGCCTGCCTCTCCAGCCTGCTGTGCTGGGTTTTCTTCACATCTTCAAATATGTCACGCCCTTTCCTACCTCAGCTTCTTTGCAAGTTCTCATCCTTCTGTGCTCCACCCCTCTGTCTTACCCAGACTTCAACCTAAACATCATTTCTCCCAAGAAAACTTCCTGGCCTCTCAGACCAGCTTAGTTTACTTGTTAAACCATCCCATAGCACCTGAGTGAGTATTTAATAAGGCAAGATGTTCATGGTGCAGAAGTCAACATGCTAGATGGGTTTACTAATTTAAAAATTACTTATGGGTTCGATGCCCTCAAGTTGAGCTGCCAACAGGTGGCAGGATGGCTCAGCTTAAAAAAAATAAGATAAATAAAATAAAAATTGCTTATGGTTGCTGCAAAGGACATGGTGTTCATACGAATGAATTCTGAATAGTTCTTTACACTGTGTCATATGGCTACCATATGGATACAGATTTGTGAAGAAGAAAACAAATGACGTCGCAGCTTTTTGTTGTACATGGTTTTAGATAGAAATACGATGCAATGTGCTGTTTAGCTTGGGAAGACAAACTAGATGGAAGAGCTCCGTGGCGCCTTTTCTTTTCTCTGAGCGCTCTGGGGTTTCCAGTGGGTTCACCTGGGCACTGAGCGTACGGACAAGACGGAAGGAGCTTACATGACATCGTCCGGCCGCAGTGAACGCACAGGCTTGGAGCCTAGTGGACAGAGAAGGGAACAAACATCGGCCACGGCTGCAGTGCATTTCTGAGCAAGATTAAGTGCTAGAACGAGACCCCCACAGCAGTGGCGGACTTCCCAGCCACGTGTAGAAACTTGTCTTTCTAGAATAACACAAGTCATTTCTAAATTAACACCAGTCCCTAGAGGCGGCCTGTCTAAGCTGGATTCTGTGATGTAAGGTCCGGGCCTGTAAGGCGTTTGTGCCTGTTGCCCGGCTCCCCAGAGCGAGCGAGCTACTGACCAATGTCTCTTGCAGAATGAAGAGGAAATCTTAGTGGAGTGTCGTGTGCGGTTTCTGTCCTTCATGGGCGTTGGGAAGGACATCCATACCTTTGCCTTCATCATGGACACTGGGAGCCAACGCTTTGAGTGCCACGTTTTCTGGTGCGAGCCGAATGCTGGGAACGTGTCCGAGGCGGTGCAGGCCGCCTGCATGGTGAGTCTCGTCTGCTGCACAGCTTTCCCCCCCTCACGCCCCTGCTTGTGTTTGTTGTGCCATAAATTAGAGCAGACTTGCTAATTGACAAGAAGAAAAGCCTGATCTCGAAAGACATGCTTACTGTGTAACGCCCCCAGTCCTGTGGACAGAATCAATATGATAAGCAGTTTGCCGTCTCTAGAGGTGGGGACATCTCCAAGACGCAGGGCCGGATGGAGCCATGTTGTGTCAGGACTGCAGTAACATTGGAAAGGATGAGCTTCCAAACCACAGATCTCAGGCATCTCAATTCTTCATCCCTAATTCCGGTTGTGATCAGGAAATGTTGGTCATGCATGAGCTGGCGCTGTTTGGAACCAACTAAGTACTTTTTTTAAAATGCATTGAACGATTTTTATTTCAGATAGTTTATGTGCATTGTTCTTACAGATTTTATTTACTTTGTATCTGTGGACTCAATGATCTTTCCAACAACCCCATTAGGTAATTATTAGTTCTGTTTTATTTATGAGAAAACAGATTCTCAGAGAAAAGCACGGGCCCCAGGGCACAGAGTTGGTAAGTGACAGAGTCTGCATTCAGCCCCACATTTTTGGGGTAACAAAGCCACTGCTCTTTGCGTCACATATGTGATTTCAAACAAATGAAAATACTCTCTCATTCATTCTGCAAATATCCTTTAAGCACCTATGATGCCAGGCACTGAACAAGTTCTGGGGAAAATGAGGGAACTGTATGAATGTAGGCATCAAAACCAGATACATGGTATGTTCCAGCAGTAGCCGGTTGGGTGGTGGAACTTAGATGTAAGGAGGGGCGGTCCCTATCATGAAGGGCGTGTCATGCCACGGTGTTCATCTTCAGCAAAGATTGTTAAGCAGGAGAGTGAACTAATCCTATAAGATTTTAAAAGTGTACTCTAAAACAAAAGGAAAGGAAACAAAGTGGTGGAGGATTGGTTGAAAAGATGAGGCTGACGTGGGGAGGTCAGCCTGGAGCCCAGGTAACGGCCCAGATGAGAGTTGCGGAGCATCTAAACCAGGAGAGCAGGAGCAGGTGGTTTGAAAGACATTGTAGAGCATCACCTGGCTGGGGAATGAGGAATGCTGGGTTTTGAAGCCCCTGTGTTTTCATTTAATTCAATCCACCATTTATGTGCTGCATGCTTGGATATTTAAGTAAGACTAAAACATGATTCTTGCATTATGGAGTTCATGTATATGGAGGAGACACATAAACTCAAATTCTGTCGATGTAGAAAGTGTTCTAACTAAAAGTGGAAGACTGCACTGGATTGAGAAGTGACTGGGACGAAAACGAAGTGGAAGCCCTGGAAGTGGATTGCTCACAAGTCTGACAGCAAAGGGTAGCTCGAAGCACAGCATCGAGGGGTGCTCACTTGTAGGATTGGGGAGATTTTTAGGCTGCGGGAATGAACCAGTAAAACTGAATTGAAGTGGGATCATATGGCTGGGGCAAGGTTGCAGTGGCAGGGTAAGAGGCTGGGGGAGGGGCTCAGCCTGCGGAGTGGGTTAGAGTGACTTTGATGCTGGCCAGAAGATGCCAAGGTGGAGTTTAAAGAAATTGAGGGAGTTCTGTGGTTTTACATACAGTACAGAGCTGGGTTAAGAATGAGGGGAAAGGATGAGGTGGATGGCAGATGGCAAAGGTGGGGAATTAGAAAATAGAGCCGATTGACTTTTATCATCAAAAACGCCTTTGAAATGGAGAGGGAAGGATGGAGAAGGGAAGGGAGAACCTGGTGTGTGTACTCATTACCTGGCATTATTCTTACCACAGTTCTTGGTTAGATGTACACTTCCCCTCGTTCTAACCCAGATATGCCTGCATGTAAGGGAGCAGGGCCAGGTGGAGGGGAGCAAGGGTGGCAGAGGGGTCAGCATGAACCCCCTGATCAGGGAGACAGAGATGGAATGAAGGGGCTGTGTGAGAAAACAGAGAATGCGAGAGTTCAGTCAACCAAAAATGGAGGATGACTGTGTAGATATTTCATGAAACTGAAAAGGATCATAACAGATGGTTTTAGTTATAAAATGAATGGCTTTCAGCCTTAATTATACATTTCAAATGCTGACGACAATTAAATAATTAGCCTTATCACTGGTTAAGTTAGTCTTCTGATTCCCAGACCCATTTTCTCTCTAAGAAGCAATTTTTACTCATTTGCTTACTGTTTTAATTGTATTAGGGCCATCAGCTAAAGTGGCTCAGCCAGACCTATATAAGGCATACTAAAAAAAATCAAACCTTTCTTTTCAGTGTTTATAACTCAGTCTTTCCTCTTGATTCACACTGTACGATTCTCCATCTGAAATATCTATGCATGAATTTATACCATCTGAAATATCTATAGCGAAAACACGTTCTTTAGAATCTACTTAATTTTTAGGCATATTTTGCAGCTGTGTGGTAGAGGCCCAGCTGAAGATACTTTGGTGAAATTTAGAATAAAATAAGGGGATCTTTAATGAATTCATGAGGTGCAGTTTTGACTCGGGCTGGATGCACACATCCAGCATATAACCAGCATCGGGAACGCCCAGTCCAGTGAACACAACTGCCCATTGCCTTAGAAGTATGTGGTCTGGGCTGTGCTGCAGACCTAGCAAGATCACTTATCCGGAGGAGACACGTGATGAATCATTTTTGGTATGCTTGGGTTGCGAGGGGCTAGTTTGGTGGCCTATGGGCTCTGACGGGGTTGTGACCCAGCGTCTTGCTATAAATGGTTTATGCTTCTTGGAGGAAGTATCGGCCTAATTCACAAGTGTCCTAAGGAACCTATTAATATTTAAGTAGATTTTTAAAAATCAGCCATGGAATTATTTTGAAGTGCCTGAATTAGAAAAAACCATTTGATAAATTTTAACCTTTTTATCTAATTTTGAAGAATGATTTATTTTTGCATTAATACAAAGGCAGGTAGATTGTGTTGTTATATTTTTAAAGGATAGAAACTGTCCGTGGTGCCAGTGCTAATGGTTTTTTCAATTACTCTGTTAAGATTTAGACTTGTTTATAAAATGTGTCCTAAAATCTGTGAAGATGTCAATCTTACTTATTAAAGCAGAAAATAGGGAAGGGAACAAATATTTATGATTGCCTTCTGCGTTGCTAGGCCTATTTTAGGCATTCTACAAGTACTCCGTAATCATAACATTCTCCGTAAAGGTTCCCATTCTTCAACCATTTTACAACTGAAGAATCTGAGACTCAGAGATTTAATAACTTGGAGTTATATGGTTCAGAAGCAGAAGAGCCTAGACTGGAACTGTGCCCTTTCTACCGTGCTGTCTCAATTAGCCATTGGATGTTTCTCTGAGGGAAATTTTAATTAATAATATGTCTCCCAATCCTTTTTCATTAGCTCTTTGACTATGAGGTATGTAAATTGCAGCCTGTGAATATAGAGGGTGGAGATGGATAGAAGAAAAAGGTTGCAAAAGCCAAAACATCTTTGAGGAGCCTAATGATCTTTTAAGAGAATTTAGAATGCTCCACTTGAAGAAAAAGATAATAAACTCTTGGATTCATGTTTAGGAGCTAGGTTGTTAACTTTTGGTAGTAAATGTACTAGTGATGAATGAAAATCACATTAAACAAGAAGGGAGGATACATTATTAACGACCATGAAATATACTTTGTTCTATTTCAGTTACGATACCAGAAGTGCTTGGTAGCGAGGCCACCTTCTCAAAAACTTCGACCACCTCCTCCGCCAGCAGACTCAGTGACCAGAAGAGTCACAACCAATGTAAAACGAGGGGTTTTGTCCCTCATTGACACTTTGAAACAGAAACGCCCTGTCACAGAAACGCCATAGCTACAGATGTTGCAGGACTCTGTAATACGTACCTGAAGATTGAATAGCTACACTAAAGATGAACTGATATCCGACCTTCCATTCAGTTGCTGATGCTTTGTCTTCAGAGAATTTATCCTTAACCACACAGTGTTAGACAAGCATGTTCTCACGTCTTGCCACCATCATGTGATATGAAAAGAAGCATGACTAATTTTTTTGCTGTCAGTAAGTTACATCATGAGCAGTGGAAGGTCTTTTTCTTATTGTAAATAGGGTGAACATTACTTAACTTCACACACAGAGAAGAATGTGGCCACACCCCTCCTAGTGAACGAACGCTGAGTCCTTGGAGTGAATGACGCCTGAAGTGGTTTCACCATCTTCTTGACAGGATCTGTCACAAGCAACTTTTAAGTCCAACAGCACTTGGCCCTGTTTTCAACCTTGGAGTAGACACTGTATGCCAGATACCATTGAAATGCTGTAACAATAGGATGATGAGTTTTTGTTTTAGTTATTCACAAAATTGAACCTTTTGGTTGACAAAATTGGCTATTGGCATCAGTATAGAAACCAACTGGCAGCTTTCCTTGATGAACCCTTTGACACATGGACACCATTTCATGTCTACAGCTGTTTGTGGGATGTTGGGGGGAAAAAGTGAAACTTCAAAATTGAAAAACCAAATTTCAGAAATTAAAATAGAAAACAATAGCCTTTTTTTTCAGATGGCTTTCAAACTGATTATTAAGAGAAAGAGATTAACAAAATCATAATGCATTTGGGTGGGACATACTCATACTTCTGCCTTATATTGTACAATGCAGCTAGAGAATTATAGTTCACTATGGCCAGTCTCTACATAAACATTAAAATGGAATATTCCTTGTAAGCCTTTCATCCTTGGTTTGCTAATTAGCAAATATGCAATTTGGAGTTGAGGAAATGTCATTTATATTTCAGATCTTCACCACCATGTTATTTTGTTAGTCCAAGTCCACCTCCGAAGTAAACGTGCTAGCATTCTGCATCTAGCTCAATCTTACCCTAATGCTTTTTGCCCAGAAAGCTGTCTGTCCATCATGTATTGTCCATGGCAACAAATTACAACCTTTCTTGAATTTATATATTTAATATTAGAATTTGTTGGACTTTACTAGATATATTTTTAAATTTATATTGTTTTCCATTTTATTTTCAAGATTTAAAAATTTCCTATCAGAGCAAAATATGCATAAGAACAATGGACTATTTAACAACTTTCCCCAAAATAGCACTTTCCAGCTTCTCTCTATATAGATATAAAATTTAGCTGTAAAGATTCACATGTTTAGACCCTTGTTGACATTCTTTTAAAAGGAATTTACTAAGGAGATCTATCTAAACATTAGTGTTGTTTTTTTAATGTCAAAATTAACATTTTATAACACCCAGTAATAAAAGTAACTGCTTTATTCACTGCTATGTACTTGTCAGATGGTTTCCACATTCTTGTCCCATTTGAGCTTTATAAGGTAGAGAAGGCACTAAACGGGTCTGAGAAAAGCAGGAAGTACCAGGAGGCTCCATCACCCAGCCTACGATCTCACAAAAGTTAGTGAGAAAACCAGGACCGGGACCCATGCTTCCTAACTCCCAGTTACGCTGTTTCCACACCAGCTGGGAAGTCTTTCCAAAATTACTCTGGGCATATCCAGTTATGGTCAGGAAATCTTAGAGTTCCCTGGATAAAGAGGGAAATGTGTTCAAATTACTCACATAGTGGTATGAATTATAAACCTTGCCTTCTCTCTGTGCAGGACTGTTTCCCTACAGTGCCTTGAACAGGTTACAGAGGACAGGATTCCACAGGCAGTACCGCCTGTTCAGACGGCCAGTTTTCCAGGGATAATGTTACATGTGGTAGAGAGGTTTCTGATTCATGATACCTGGCTACCAGAGAACATGATGGAATGAGGAGGTGGCCTCCTGCCTCTATCGCTCAGAATTCTGGAACTGTTGCTAGGACCTTAGTGTAAGGACAAAAAAGATGCCACTATAGAAATGAATTCTGCTCACCAGCCTATATACTTCTACCTGCAGTAACCAATGCCATCTTAAGAAATTACTGCATTAAGAAAATCCTTCCTGTGCCCTTGGAAAGCTATTCAAAATTCAATCATGATCTTTCATCTTGATCTCCATAATGAAATGTTTTAGTGTGATAAACTTCAAAATTCTGAACAAATAGTCCACTTTTATATTGGCAATCTCTACCAGAACCCCCTATTCATTTTTGTTTGTTTATTTTCAGGATCAAGAATACTGAGCTAGCTTTAAGTAGCAAACTGATTTATATATGCAACTAGAGGATACATTAAGATGAATGATAGCCTTTATGTATTGAAAACTTTACTGCAGATACTTTGTTTGGAAGATAGCTTTGCATACTAAATGCAATTAATTTTGTAGAATTAATTATGTTAAATAGTATGTTCAGACACTTTCTGCCATGGCCAAAAAGTATGTATGAAAGTATGTGTGTATTTTTCTGTGAAAGGATGCCAGTGTTTTACCTGATATTGCAGTGACACTTCAGTTATCTATGCATTCTTTGTATCTGTGACTCGGTAAACAGGCAGCCATGTTCACTATGCCTTGTATGTCTTATCATTTTTTTAATCAACCTGTTAAATACAGCTTAAAATATTTTTATTTTATTTATTCTATTTTTACGGAAATATACTGCATTATTGTGTTAATGTATTATCTTTCGTGGATATTATCTCACACTGTATCCAGGTCTACGTAATCTCAGTGAACTATATACATTTGCCTAAAAGGTGGTTTTGTAATTACTTGTAGTCACATTTTATTGGGAGTATGTAGAAGAAAAGGCAGAATGCTTCAAGTTCCTTTTATTTTTGAAAGCAGCTAGACAGTCCCAGACCCGCAGCCTCATCCGTGTGCTCCTGGGCAGCCTCAAGGGGAATGGCCAACAAGCCTGTGGCAAAAAGTTTTCCTTTGCAAACTGAAGCACTGCTTGGTGCTTCGTTTCTGTAGCCTTCACAACAGTGTAATCTCATCTAAAAGACAGACACAAGTCCACATGCCCTTAGTTTCCACCCGTAGCTAATTAGGACCATTGTTTTTGTTTGTCTGTCTGATGCATGAAGGCACATTAGACTCATTTCCATTAAAGTAAGTTCTTGGTGTAAACTGTAGGCACTGCTGCTTTTTAAAAAAATCCACGTTATGATTTTATGATGGCATTGGTAAGACGATTCTACAGAAGATAATTTACTAGAAGTCCTAAATCTTTCCTCCTTTTCTTGTATGACACACTCGTTTCATAAGCATTGCAATACAAATTCAAGATTTCATGAAAAACAATGCTCTGATATTAGCACAATTGAACCAGTAAAACCATTCGTTCTCTAGTGTGCCAGGCTTACTTAACCTGATACACAGCTTAACATGTGTTATACGGCCAGTAAAATGAAGTTTAATTTATTTCAACTTCAGGGGAAAGATACTGTTCATACTTGATTGATGAGAGCACCCCCTGCCATTCAAAGCAGCTTGTTGATCCTGAAAGAACATTTGGTTTTGCTTTCTGCCCCTTTTGCTGTTGACCACTTTTACACATTTAAATGTAATATGTTGTGAGAATAAACTTAGCTGCATAAAGTGTTTGACTCATTTATCTGCCATCTCAGTCATATATATATCCAGGAATAGAAATATAAGTTTAGTGTCTCCACACTAGTCATTTTCAAAATTATTCTTACCTCAAATTAAAAATCATTTTAGTAATGTAAGATTCTGCTGTGATTAGTTATTGCCTATTTCCACCTGGTAAGAGCTAGAAAGTAAATTTTGAGTAATTCATCACACTGTTCTTATTTGGAAGAACAGCTGTCATTTTGGACACGCAAGCCTATTTAGTCACCAAACTTGAGGCTTGTGTAAGCAGTCTTTCTAGTACTAAGAGAGTCTATCTTTGATTTCCTTTAAGAACCTGACATAAAGAAGAATAGAGTTGTACAAGCACTGAATCCCGAGTCAAAGGTAACTAGAAAAACAAATCAGTTGAATCTGGTTTAGTTTAACTGTTAGATATGTGGAAGAAGATGAATCGAATTTAAAGTATGTACCCATTTTTGGCTCATCTTGCATTTCCCCTGATAGTTTCTCTCGATCAAAGACAGCTACTCTCAAGGAAGAAAGTTTCATGGTTTCAGGTATTATAGTGATAAATAATTTCAGATAAAAATCTGAATTTGCTATTGGAGTATCTAAATAACAGTAACTCCATTTTAGATTTTTGCAACACTTGATTCTAAGAAGCTCAAGAAAGAAGAATGTCTGTTACCGATATTCTCTTTCACTAGAATTCTTATACTGTTTTTATCCCAAGTACTTTTTACTATTTAAATTTTTTAAATAATTGATATGTCATTCTTAGAAGATTCTCAAAGAAGAAAACTGCAGGTTTAATTAATGAGTGGTTTAATTCAGAGTCTCCATATACTTCTAAAGAGAAAAATAATTTAGTGACAAGGTGCGTGCTATGAGATACTGAATATAAGTGGTTAAAGTTGTGACATGACACGAATTGTGCTACTATAGAAATCAGAAAAATATCCCGAACTATTTCATGAGTTTTCTTTTTATAACATCACAAAAAATTAAAATCTCAAACCTGCTACTCTTGCACAATGGAGTACTTACTTTTCAGCCTGGGGCAGGAGTAAGAGGGTTCGAAAAGAATAAAAGATTCCTGGGATAAAATAGCAGCTCTTCACCGAAACAAGTTCAGTTCAACTGCACTGGCCTCCCAAAGGTATGGACTACTGTATGCCAGAGAGTGAGAGGAAGAGAAGGAAACTAATTTTTAGAGCAAAGCGATACATAGTTTTTGATTTCTGAAATTAGTAAAATGAGCTGAGCATTCAAAATACTTCTGTACATTTTAAGAGTTATATGAGAATCCTTTCGGAATTTAAAATACAATAAACCTGGTTCGAGTATAAAAAGTTTTGTTTCTTCACTGACAAATTTTACTGATAAATGTAAATCTTCAGCTAAAATAAAAATAATTTATTACTATTAAAATGATATTCACCATTTATTATCCTCATTTCAAGTGAGAAAATAAAGATAGACTATAAGAGCTGAAATAGACCTAAACATTCATCTAGAAGAAGATAACGTTCTCCTAAAAACATGCCACCTGAATTGAACATTTAGGAATTTATGTAACACTATTCAACACAATGGGATTCTGAAAATAGAACAATTCAAACTATGTGTACATTTTTTAAACACTAGGATTTATAGTTGTAACTTACTTTAATGTCAAGCAGTTTCTTTTGCCATGATGAAAAAAGATCGACCCAGAAATTATAATCATACCAACTTTTAGTAGGCAATTGATAATACATTCAAGATGAATTGACTTAATATAATTAACATAGTGCTATATTTTAATTGTGCATCAGAAATGATTTACTAAAATTTGATTACTCTGCCATTTGAAATGACTTGTAGATTTTAGTATTTAACCTGATCTTTGAATAGAATCAGAAATTTTTAAGGGTTTTTTCAACAATAGGTGTCACTTGTATTCAATAGTTTGCCTCTTCCTTAGAATTATTACTATTTAGATGGAAATTTGCTTACAGTCACTTTTTTACAACAGTATTTGGCATAAATAGAAGGGAGAGCTGATTGTGTTCGATCTGCTCAGGGTCCTGGAAGCTCTCAACAGCTTTCACTCTGTAAGTGGGACATCTGAACTACCCTCACCTGGAACTTTGGAACTTCTTATCCTTCCTACTCATCCTCATTACAAAACTCATATCATCCCCTGCTTAAAGACTCTTGATATTTGAGAACCTCGATAATGACTGAAGATGATAAACTACTACTGACTAGACACTGAAAAGCAATCTGAAGTCAGTGCAGGGGGCATCTTTTCCATATCTGCTTTTTCATAAACTGCATCACAAATAAGCTTGAAAAAAAACCCTGTCATAATAAGGCAAACAGTGTTTCCCTTCAGGAAAAATTGTTGCAGCTTTCTTTTTTAAAATGGTGTCCTAAGTCCACACTGAACGTTAACAAGAGTGAGACAAGTTCCAACAGCTGATACTGAGTCTACAAGTGGACATTCTAGAACAGATCAGCATTGAGCTGTTGAAATATCTTCATTTTGCTTTGCTTAACCACCTCCATTATTGCTTCTCACTTGTCTTAATTCTCTTGAAGGTACTGTCACATTTAGACGAAACTAAGTGACTGAAAGGATGAGTATCTTGTGTAGGAATGTCTAACCTTCAGAGAAATATCAGACTTTGAAAAAAAAATCAACTGCTTTTTGAGCACTGTAAAAAACAAAAAACAAAAAACGACAGTCAAAGCCATGGTCGGCGACATCTGAGTAGGAAGGAAGGTAGGTTTTCTTTAGGCTTGTCCCCTTTTCTGGATAGCAATGGTGTGGTAAGGTAGCTGGGCATCACAGTCTTGGGTCCAGCCCAATGACAGTAAAAATGTTGAGCTGGTATCTGAGGTCTGATCCCTTGGGGACTTGAAAATGGCAACATTACTGGAGGCAAAACAATCTCCACAGGTTTCAATGCAACCATTCTGTCCTCTGGGCGATGTCTTACGAAGTGTGTCGGACGTTCATATGGTCTGGGGGGAGCTGTGTTCTTCATAAATGCAGGCACTAAAGGGTTTGTGGCAGGCTTGTTGGTTTTCCTGACCTGTGAGGAAGGGCCCACTTGAGTTGTATTTTTCTGTGGAAGAGATGTTTTTGTTGTTGATGTTTCTGACCAATTAGTATTTGCATTAGTTTCTCGATTCAGGAACTCAGCAATTTTCATTTGGATGCTGTTGCCATCAGTAGTGGAAGCTTTTGGCAATGATGTTTTTGATTTTTTCTTCTTTTTCTCCTGTTTTGAAGATTTACCCAACTCGATCCCATCCAGTAGACCCTTTGCCGCAGCACGAGCCAAAACATCTTTCACAGACACTGTCTCAGATGGGTCCCGCTACAATTGAAGCAGTTAATAAATGTAAGAGTTAACTACTAGTGTGTATATTACAAATATTTATTAGCGTTTAAGCAAAAATGAGAGTATATCATACTAAAAAAAAATGTTTTTTTAGGCTTTAGTCCCTAATATATCCCATAAGCCTCAGCAAATGACTTTTTTTGTCCTTAAACCTCCCCATTTATGAACCTGACCAAAAAAAAAAAAAAAAGATTACAGAGCTTATTTCTTATATGTAAAATAGATTAATTAGATGTTGACAAAGTGCTTGTAGAAGTGGGGGTGGAGATCAGACAGAAAGGAACCCTCAGGAGAAGTATAAAGATAGAAACAGGGAAAAAAATTTTTTTTTTTTTGCTACACAATACTAATATTTTCCAGCCCTTTAGCTATGTATAAAATAAGCACACCATTACAAAATGCTCATAAAGTTACTAGGTCCCTTTCATGAGGTTTTTTTTGGTTCTTAATTACAAAGTACATACATTGGGATTTTTTCCCCCTTACCTCCCTTGTTAGAACAGAAAGAAAACAGCCATTGGTAATTGCAGATGGTTCCATTCTGAAAAATTTATCAGTAGACAAATGTATTTCCTTTAAGGAGCAAAGTGGAAGAACAGGAGGACTAAGCCTGCAGTGGACATGAGCAAACAGTTCATAATTAGAATGGCTAATTTTCCAATCAAGGGAGATAGTAAATTGCAACAAATATCCTTCTATTATGTTTAACCAATCATTTAAACAAAATTCCTAAATAAGGATAAAATGCTGATGCAGTACAATACTACTGAGACAGGATAGGTAGCGTAGGAAATTGACAACCCCCTCCAGTATACGACGTGAGGTGCCTCACTAGTCACACAGCTGTATCCGGCACCTGCTGCTGAAGAAGAACAAGAACCAGTTTCATCCAGCAAAGCTAATCCCCTGGACCAGGGACTGACCTTTAGCTAATTATAACATCATTATAATCTCATTTACATTGTGGTTACTACAACTCCCATATTACATCTGATGCCATGACAGTTCCGGAAAAGACAAATAAGGAAACAACTGATGATCCCGCCTACTGGGAGGAATCTGAGGAGCCATGTCAATGAGATATCACCAGACCCTGCCCCTGGGATGTATAAATACCCCTGTCAGGGCTTCCTCAGTGCCACTCGCTCTCTGAGTTCACCCACACTTCCCTGTCAAGTGTGTACTTTCTTTTGAATAAACTTCCTCTGCTCTCTGCCATCAGTCTCCCTCTTGAATTCTTTCTCATGTGGAGATAAGAACTTGGTCACTGCTGCTCTGGGTTGAGTCCTTTCTTGGACATCCCCATGAGCCTCTGGTGACACTATTATAACTTTAAAACTCTAATATTTCTTGTTAATTCATAATTTATGCTACTTCCCAAGTCCTCCATCTTTAAACAACTATGCCAAGAATACCAACCTTTCAACAAATTAAAAGCTCTTCCCCAAGTCATTAATATGTTAACAAAAAAGGCTCCTATTATCAAAACATGTAAATAAGTATAGTAATCACAAAGGTACAATCCGGGGCCAGCTGAGTGGCTCAGTTGGTTAAGAGTTGGCTTAAGAGTGTAAGCTCTGAGCAACAGGACCGCAGGTTCGATTCCCACATAGGCCAGTGATGCTGCGCCTGAGGTGAGCTGTCGCTGAGCTGCCAACAGGTGGCAGGATGGCTCAGCTGGAGTAACAACAAGATTGCCTGTTCGATGGTGGGCTACACCCACCTGCAATTAAGATTGAACTGGGCACCTTGAGCTGAGCTGCCGCCTGGATGGCTCAGTGGATAGAGGGTGCACTCTTAACAACAAGGCTGCTGGTTCAACTCCTGCATGGGATGGTGGCTACACCCACCCGCAACTAAGATTGAACACAGCACCTTGAGCTTAGAGGCCACGAACTGCCGACCGGCAGCCAGATGGCGACTGGCGCCCTCCACAACGAAGACTGAAGAACAACAACTTGTCTGTTCCCCCTCCCCAATTCCCCAACACTGTTCCCCTCCCCCAACTCCCCAATAAAATCTGTAAAAAAAAGGTACAATCCAAAATATCCTTTACCTCCACATGTTGTCAAAATACAAAAGCTATGACTTCCTTCTTTGTTACTTTTTGCACAATTACAATGGCCTATTATTTTAACTATATTGTTCTTACCAATAACTGTTTTGAGTATTAATGGATGAATTATGTAGTGTTCAAGGAAGTACATAACAAAGAAAAGACTTTGTGTCAAAAATACAAAAATCTCTAATCACTAATATATTTAAAATAAAATTTTGGTTTTTAAATTTAATATTTAATTTCTCATTAACTAGTAAGTAGTTTATTTATAAATAATTCTTATATTCCCATACTTTTACAATTAAAATATATTTAATCAAAACAATAAACACTTTTCTACATACATTAAAATATTAGGAACTCTCAATAATTTTGTATATTATATTCTGAAATTTAAAACCATTTAAAATGTATATTCATTCATTATTTGCCTACTAAGTGCAAAGCACATAAATAAAATACTAATTGATTCTCTTAAATTGTTAATTTAGTTGGAGAAATTAATTCGTTTATAATAATATAAAGATAAATATAAAAATGCTGATCCAAGGAGAGACAAAATTATGTAGCAGTACAAAATAAGGTACAATTAACTCTGGCCATGGGAGATGGTAAATATGAAGACATCATAGAGGAAGTAGCATCAGTGCTGTTTCTTGAAGAATCAGTAAGTTTCAATAAGGTACAGAAGGTGATTCTGGACAGAAAGAAGAACATAAACAAAAAGCCCAAGTGTCATGAAAATGCATGTTTAGGGTACAGTAAGTATTTCCATGTGTCTGGGGCATAAGGTGAGTAAGGGGATGTGGAGGTCACTTAGGATGTGGGCACACTCACATGACCTCAAATAACACTCCAAAGAGTAGGGCAATTGGTAGTACTTTAATAAATGTTTAAGCTGCACTGAGCTGTGTAGGTTCTAAAGGCAAGAGAGCTAGTTGCCCCTCCCTCCAGCCCTGTAACCAACACACTGAGGTTCTGAAGCCTATTCATATATGTTCTCTACACAAAGAGAAATCATCAAAAAAATTTTTCACTCATAAGGTAAAGAATACTCTGAAAAATGATTATTTCTTACCAATTTGGAACATATTTAGCTCCAGAATATAAATATGAAGGCTGGGATTTTTGTCAGTTTTCATTCACTGATACATTCATAGCATCTAGAAGAGTGCCGGGTACATGTAAGTATTCAATGAATATTTATTTACTAGACTGTGATATATTTTAACTACATATAGGATCTTTTTTAATGGTAATAATCCATAATTAAGATTGGTCACATTACCTTACAGAAATTGCCTGTACATAGCAAAATGATTTCCAAACCCTAATTTATAGCCCATTTCTTTGAATAATAAATTCATACCCAGAGCCTCACACCTGACTTAGATGATGACATTTGGGAGTTTTTGAATTGATGATGCTTGGATATTGTATGATTTCATTTAAATGAAATGGCTAGACTAGGCAAGTCCATAGAGACAGAAAGTAGATTGATAGGAGCTCGGGGAACAGAGGAATGAGAAGTGACTGCTTAGTGGGTATGAAGTTTCTTTTGGGGATGATGAAAATGTTCTGGAATTAATGGCAATGGTTACACAACTTTCTGAATATACTAAAAAGCACTGAATTGTACACTTTAAAATGATGATTCATGGTTTGTGAATTACATTTCAATTTTAAAAACTAAAACAGGAACAGTTCCATGTATGTAGAGTATACATTATCTGTAACATAATATGTACAGGCATACCTCGTTTCACTTTATTGTGTTTATTGTGTTTCACACAAGTTGCGGCTGTTTTTACAGATTGAAGACAAGACCCTCCGCTAGCAAAAAGACGGCAACTTGTGTTATTGTGGTGGTCTGAAACCAAATCCGCAATATCTCCAAGGTATGCCTGTACGCATACATTCATATGGCTGATATTCGACTGGTACACACTGGTATGGCCGGACGGGTGGTAAAAACATTACTTCTGGGCTTGGCGCCCTCTAGCCGCCCCAGTTTTCCTAGTGTCCCTCCAGACCTTCACATAATAGAAAGGAAAAAAGGGTTACACCTGCCTCATTAGAGACCGCCAGGACCCTGCTCCAGCTGCTGGACACTTGGGGATTTGGAGGTGGAGAGATACAGGAAGGAAATCGTTAACCTCATTGCGTATCTTGGGATAGTTTTATTTGATACGCAGGTGTGGGTAGGGGTTCTTATAATTTAAAAATTAATAAAATTTAAGAAGAAAACCATTTGAAATTATAGTAGTTGAAGCATTGTCATATTAGTATAGAAATAGCAAACAAACATCAACAGAACAGAATTACAGACTCACACAGAAGTATATATGGGATTACAGCATATAAAACCGTAGCATTTTAAATCAGTGAGGAGAGAAGGGAAGGATTTGGGGGCGAAAATAAAGCACAATCCATACTTTACTCCTTCACCAAAATAAACAGCAAATAAATGCATTATTTAAATATAAAAATACTAAAGAAAAACTGATAAAAGAATCTATAAGCCGAGGATCAACATAACAAAAAATGTAGAAGCCCTAAGGAAAAGATTGATAGAGCTGTCCACACAGAAATTTGAGATTTCTATAAAGCAAAATTGTTATTAAAATTTTTATTTAAAAATATCTGTAGCTCATATGAAAACAGCTAATGTCCCTAATATACAATGACAAAACATAGAAAACAGAAGAAAAAGATGAATGATGCAGTTGAAAAAGTGGTAAAGAACATAAATGGGCTACATTTATTGAACATTTATTATATGCCAAGCATTGCTCATGTAATAATACACTCAGTCTCCACAAAGATGCAGTGAGGTAGGTAATATAATCCATATATGTTACAACCACCTTTCCTTCTTCTCCTTTCCAATCACCCTTCTCCCACCTAACAAAGAAAGGCATTGCCCTGGGGTGTTAAAATCTCTGGGATGCTAAACAAAGGGACAGCTCACGAATGTGGTTCTCTTCCCCAATGGCAAAGCAGAGTTTAGGTAAGAAATCTTTTCAGAGGATGCCAAACACTAAAAAAGCTCCGTTCTTGAACTTACTTCCTGCCTCCCTTCCTCCTTTTCTTCTTCCCCCTTCCCTACCTTTCTTCTTCCTTCTCCTTCCCCTCATTTCTACATATCTATCTTAGATTAAAATTAGAAGTAAATCATGAGGGCATATTAACATGTTTATTTGAATTAAAGAATAAAGTCAGACTTTTTCTGACAAGGTCAATCTGGTTTTGACAATGAGAGCTAGTTTTGTAAAATCGGTAATAAATTCAGCATTTTCCATAAATTGAAAAAGATAAATCTGCAGATCCAAAGATTTAACCGAAATATATTTAAATCACATATGTAATATAATATTCCAGAAACAATATACTTTGCAACTATTTAAACTTATAATGAAAAGGATTAAATGTCAACTTTAAAATATAGAAACAAAATCATATAGAATATGATAAAATATAGAAAAAAATATTCAAAAAAATTTAGGGAGTGTTTGAAAAAGTGTTCTTTCAAACATGGCAAAAATGTTTGAAGACTACTCCTTTAGAACCTTCACTCTTAATTTCCCACACACTACACAGCTCAGTGAGTAGACAGCAAATGTGCCGAAACTCACTGATAGAGAAATGAAAATTTAATCAACCATGAGATCTCATCTTTTCACCCCTCAGACTGGTAAAGATTTAAAAGTCTAATAAAACCCTGCATATGTGAAGCTGTGGGGAAACAGGTTTATAAGAGTATATACCGGGGATGCCAAAAATATATATATACCCATGACTTGTATTCATCTTTTGTTATCGGTGTATATTGAGTATTAATACAGTTTTCTCCTTTCTTAAAATGTTTATACACTTTTTTGGCACCCTCTGTATTTTGATGGGTAATTTGACAATACCAGTTAAAACTTAAAATGTCTACAACCTTTGGCGCTAGAAAGAAAACCTGAAAGACTACAAATCAAACCGTTAATGATTATACCTAAAAGGATGGAATTTGGAAAAACTTATTCTTTTTAAGTTAGTATTTCTGTAATTTTGAAGTTTTTACAATAGGGGACAAGAAAAAAAAGTTGCATTAACATAGGTAATTATGGCAAAAGTTCAAAATGAGCTGAATATTTCTGGGATATTAAAAGCATATGTTAGCAACAGGTGATTAGATTCGATGGCATGTGATATTGTTTTCAACCCTAAATTCTCTACTTTGGGAAGTAAGAAATGATTGTTAGAGGCCATATAGTATACTTCCCTAAGTGATTCATAATTTCTTTTGACAGTATCCCCAACAAGTAGTTTTAAACCTCTTTTATAAACACTCTCCAACGTGAGCCCAAATCTCAGATTATTCTTTTTATAATATGTCCTTAAATATTGTCTATATTTATACCATAGTATATATTAATAATCATGGCTTACCTGAAGTAAAATCTAATGAAATAAAATACAGATGTTCCTCCATTTTTGCCATATTACATTCTAGAAACCTAATTCCTGACACATGAAGAGTCATCTATCAATACAATGATGAATTTGGTTATATACAATTTGGTTATATACCTGTAATAATTCTCTTTGCCACTAGATGGTGGTTTAGCTAATGCTCTCAGAACATAAGGTGGGCTGTTAGCTACAAACAGGTGTTACTAAATAAGGAAGTAAAATAAGAAGGGAAATACAGATGTGATTAGCATATCCACTTGTGAATGGGCAAAGGGGAAATATCAAATTAAAAGAAGGAAGCAAACCATATGCATATTAAGAACCTACTATAAGAATTAAAGGAAAAGTTCAGAACATGAGCACAAGTAAAAAATAGAAGGAAACCTTTTTAAATACTTTGTTAATTGTCACAGTCTTGAGGAACTAATTGTGTCATAGAGTCTTAGGTCTACTCCTTATCTTGATGTCCATAGTTCAGATGTAATACTACTGTTTTTCTTCTCTACCTCTAGTTTGCTGCAGCATTTTTACCCAGAAGCTACTATAGTTATTTAGGATATTTTTACCTCAGTTTTTCTGGGTGCCAAAGATTAAAAGGGTCTAAGAAATGTATGTTTTAAGATTATAAACATCTAATGTTCTCTCTAGTTTCTAAGGTTATTTTATGTACTTATTTTTCTTCAACTGAGGCATGGATGTATGAGGTCTGACAATTAAGTTCATGAACTTATTGCAACAATGTTGCTAACTTTTTTTGATATCAGAGGGATTATTCATTATGAATTTGTACCAATTGGACAAACAGTTAACCAGGTTTACTATTTGGAAGTGCTGAAAAGATAAACGAAATATTGAAGACATTTTGATGACATTCAGGACATCAAGGGTAATACGATGACAGCTCTGATGGCCATTCCAGAAAAGTAGCTCCAAAATTGCTTTGAAGGGTGGACTAGGCACTGGTGTCAGTGCATAGCTTCCCAAGGGGAGTACTTCGAAGGTGACCATAGTAATATTCAGCAATGAGGTATGTAGCACTTTTTCTAGGATGAGTTCGCCAACTTAATTGTCTGACCTCATATGTAATACTCCAGATATAAAGTTTAGACTCATTTTTTCCAGAAACCAATCAAGTCAAAGCCAAAATGACTTTTAGCTTTAACAATAACAACAGGAATCTAGTGTACAAGAGAATGCTCATACCAAGCCATTATAACGGCTCTACAGAATTTACATTAAAGTTGTAAGAAGTTAGCCGATTTGGTCATATTAAAGTCTGACAAAAAAGAAGTAGAATGTCTTTATACAACTTAGAAAATCATAATTTTTCATAATCAAAAATATTTGACTGAGTTGTTTAGAAGAATCCTGTCCTTTCTTACCTATAAGGTTGTACTTTAATTCCACGGTCTTGAAATTCCAGTGCTTTCTTAACAACAGCTTCATTTTCTTCTGGATAAACTGAGCATGTGCAGTAAACAACTGCTTGAGCTTTAGTAACTATATTTAAGGAAAACGAAATTAACACAATGACCCCACTAGCAATCCTAAACAGATTTGCTGTTTCCAAACATCTGTTTATACTAATACTGCATAGTTTTGATGGGAATGATTGCCATAAATGCTTGCATGGCTCCCTTTATAGCATGTATTATTAATGTAGTTTGCAGCCAATAAGTAAAGTAAGTCTAACTGAATTGTATGGAAATTGAAAATTCAATCAATGCGGCCAACCTAGTTACAAACAGACAAATACTGTGGATTACCATGAGCTTGATACTTCCAGCCATTCTTCCATAAGCCATATCATATAACTAGCTAAAAAGACTCTAGGAACAGACAGATATAGATGTGAATCCCAATTTGGTTACTTATGAAGCTGGCAAAATTACTTAAACTCAAACTTGTTATCTGTAAAATGAGGTAATGCTATCACCTGCAACTCATTTATTCATACTTATCAAGCACCTACTACGTGGTAGACACTGTTCTAGCCATTCAAGATACACAGACAAAAATCCCTGCCACTGGTGAGCTTATTTTCTGTGTTTTTGGCAGACAAGACATAAATAAATTTAAAAATTATATAGTATTGTTAGGAGGTGATAAATGCTATAGAAAAAAACAAAGTAGGTATGGATAGTTTCAGGAGATAATACTGTAATTTAAAATAGAATAGTCAGAGAAGGCATAAAAAATGTATTTAACAACTTCCTAATCTTCCAATCAACTTAATTTCATAGATCATATATATATACTATCATGTTCAATGTTTATTAGTAGCATCAACTAAAAGGGCAGACTTTTCTGTGCTTCACACTTGGTCTTATTTCTACCTCATGTATGCTGTATCTTTATATTGAATTATCAATACCCTATACTTATTTTTGAGCCTTCGGAGGTCAGGATTTATTCACACTCATATCCCTAACACCCAGCTTAATGCCTGACACACAGTAGGCATTTGATAAATATGTACTGAATTAACAAAACTTTATATAATTTCTCAGAGACTTCTAGATTTTCATATCCATGTGTTGAAGGGCAGTAGTACTCATAATCTAAATGGTACTCAAACCTAAATGCAGTGATTGAAGTAATAATATACAGTAAAACTTTGGATTGAGAGTAACTTGGTTTGCGAGTGTTTCCACAAGACGATCAAACATTTCTAATACATTTTAACTTGGTAAATGAGCATTGTCTTGCAATACGAGTAGTTTGTTTCTGGAACAAATTATGCTCGCAAACCAAGGTATTACTGTACTTGCAAAGCCTTGTTATTCAGACATGAAATTAAGAGATCTAGGCTTTATTTGTAACTGCATCTCTCTATTCTCTATTTAGCATTAAGAGAAATACAAGTTTGATTAAAATTTGGATTGTAGTAAAGTTGTTAGGGGCAGGCACAGGGACAACAAAAAAATTACATTAAGAGATTTCCGGTCAAGGGCAGGCCGAGTGGCTCAGTTGGTTAAGAGTTGGCTTAAAAGCGCGAGTTCTGAGCAACAGGGCCGCCGGTTCGATTCCCACATGGGCCAGTGACGCTGCGCCCAAGCTGAGCTGTTGCTGAGTTAACAACAGGTGGCAGCATGGCTCAGCTGGTGTAACAACAAGATTTCCTCTTTGATGGTGGGCTATGCCCACCCACAACTAAGACTGAACTTGGCACTTTAAGCTGAGCTGCTGCCTGGGTGGCTCAGTGGATAGAGCGTGCACTCTTAACAACAAGGCTGCCGGTTTGACTCCCACATGGGATGGTGACTACGCCCACCTGCAACTAAGATTGAATGTGGCACCTTGAGTTAGAAGCCATGAGCTGCTGACAGGAGCCAGATGGTGACTGGCGCCCTCCACAACGAAGATTGAAGAACAACAACTTGGCTGGTCCCCTTCCCCAATTCCCCAACACTGTTCCCCTTCCTCAATTCCCCAATAAAATCTTTAAAAACAGAGAGATTTCTGGTCAAGATGGTTGAGTAGGAAAATGCTGTACTTGCATCCATCCTCTCACCACCACATCAAAATTACAACTAAACTACAGAAAAATCATTCTTGAGAATTGTCTGAGGTCTAGCTGAATAGAAGTCCTACAACTAAGGACCATACAGAAGAAAACATGTCAAAACTGGTAGGAAGGGTGGAGATGTGGAACAGGTTGGTCCCACACCCACTTTGGCAGTTAAAAATAGGGAGGGTTATCTCAGCTGGGGAGGGCCAAGATAACCCTCCCTCAGTGAGGAATGAGGGGTCCCAGCTCCACACAAGGATCCCCTGCCCAGAGTTCCAGTGCCGGAAACAGAAGTCCCCATAACTTCTACCTGTGAAAATCAGCGGAGATTGTGGCTGAGTGACACTAGGCAGCTGGAGTCCCAGGCGTTTCTCTTAAAGGATCTGCACATGGACTTACTCACTCATGGACTCACTTGCTCTGAGCTCCAGCACTGGGGCAGCAGCCCAAAAGGCTCCAAGGACATACAGAGAACTGAATTGTCTAGCTCCCAATCAGAACATCAAAAAGAAAAAAGATTTTAAAAATGAGGATACTTTAAGGGGCCTCGGGGACAACATCACATGTACCAACATTCATATCGTAGGGGTAACAGAAGGAGAAGAGAGAGAGCAAGGAATTGAAAACCTGTTTGAAGATAAAGATAGAAAACTTCTCTAACCTGACAAAAGAAATAGACATACAAGCTCAGGAAGTGCAGAGTCCCAAACAAGATAAATCCCAAAAGGCCCACACCAAGACACATCATAACTAAAATGCAAAAAGCTAAAAACAGAGAGGATCTTAAAAACAGCAGAAGAAAAGCAGTTAGTTGCCTACAAAGAAGCTCCCAAAGACTGTCAGCTGACTTCTCAACAGAAACTTTGCAGACCAGAAGGGATTGGCATGAAATATTCAAAGTGATGAAAAGCAAGGACATACAACCAAGATTACTCTACCCAGAAATGCTATCATTTAGAATAGAAGGATAAAGAGTTTCCTAGACAAAAAAAAGCTAGAGGAGTTCATCACCACCAAACCAGTATCACAAAAAATGTTAAAGGGACCTCCTTAAGGAGAAGAAAAAAAAAGACAAAAAAAAATATGAATAATAACATGTCAATAATTACAAATCTATCAACAATTACCTTAAATGTAAATGGATTAAATACTCCAATTGAAAGACATATGGTGGCTGAATAGATAAGAAAACAAGACCCTTACATATGCTGCCTACAAAGCACTCACTTCAGATAGATACACACAGACTGAAAATTAAAGAGATGGAAAAAGATATTCCATGAAAATGGAAATTAAAAAAGCTAGAGCAGCAATACTTACATCACACAAAAATAGACTTCAAAAAAACAAACTATAACAAGAGTCAGAGAAGGACCTAATAATCTCACTTCTGGGTATTTACCCAAAGAAACCCAAAACACCACTTCAAGGGGACATGTGCATCCATATTTTCACTGCAGCATTATTTACAGAAGCTAAGATATGAAGGCAACCTGGGTGTCCATCAATGGAAGAATGGATAAAGAAGAGGTGGTACATATATACAATGAAATATTACTCGGCTATAAAAAAGAATGAAATCTTGCCATTTGTGACAACATGGATGGACCTAGAAGGTATTATATTGAGTGGAAGAAGTCAGGCAGAAAAAGACAAATGCCATATGATTTCACTTATATGTAGAATCTAAAGAATAAAATAAACGAACAAACAAAACAGAAATAAATTCATAGACAGAGAACATTTTGATGATTGCTAAATGGGAGGGGCTTGGAGAGATGGGTGAAAAAGGGGCAGGGATTAAGAAGTACAAATTGGGGCCGGCCAAGTGGTGTGTTGGTTAAGAGTTGGCTTGGGACAGCAACTCTGAGCATTAGGGCCCCAGTTTGGATCCCACATTAGGGCCAGTGACACTGCGCCCTCTACAGCTAAGATGGTGAACAATAGCTCGACCTGGAGCTGGGCTCTGTGAGTTGCTGGCGACGGTGTAGGCTGCAGTGGGGCTGCAGTGGGCTCCTGTAAGCTATTGTGAGCAGCTGGCAGCCGGTGTGAGCTATCAAGAGCTGCCGTGAGCGGCCGTCCAGAAGCTGGCGACCCATCTGCCTCACCTGGGAAGAGCGCAATGATAATACCAACATGGGCCAGTGAAGCGACGTCCTCCACAACTAGACTGAAGAACAAAAAGGACAGCAACTTGTCTGTTCCCCTTCCCCGATTCCCCAACGCTGTTCTCCTCCCCCAATTCCCCAATAAAATCTTAAAAAAAAAAAGAAGTACAAATTGGCAGTTATAAAATAGTTATGGAGATATAAAGTATAGCATAAGGAAGATAGGCATTAATATTGTAATAACATTGTATGGCTTCAGATGGGTACTAGATTTATTGGGGTAATTGCCTTGTAAGTTATATAAATGTCTAATCACTATGTTGTACACCTGAAACTAATATAATATTGTATGTCAAATGTAATTGGAAAGTAAAAAAATTATTTAAAAAATAAAATCACTTAAAAATTACATCAAGTAAGAAGCCAAAGAAAAATAGAGAAGATGAAACTGTACAAAAATGGATGCACATAATTATTTCACTTCAACATTAAGAAGCTGTCAATTATGCTTGCTAATCTCAGTTAAAAATGATAATAAAGCATATTTTTATAGACTTAGATTAAATTGGTCAAAATAAATATTTTTGTTATTTGAAGGTGCTAAGGCTTGCTTGTTCTGACAAATTCACTTATGATTTACACCTCATTGCCTGATTATAATAGAGAAATAAAGTATTAGTGTTTCTAAGATTCATAACATATTTTAAAATTGCACAGATAACAAACTTACATCTCATTGCATGTGTTAGCTGTTCATATTGCTGTTCAGCAAGAACATGAAGTTTACTTTCTGGCGTGCCTCCTTGAGAGAAATCTTTAAGTAAACCTGTATCTAAATGCAAACAAATGCTTTAAAATACATCACTATTAGATATGTTCTGTATATTGCTATTACCACATTATTTAATTTTTCAATCGTTTTTCCCTGTTAATGAGAGTTTTCATGGGAAGTACTTATAAAAACTAAATAGATAGTATTCTTAAAAATGCTGACTTACATATTAAAAAACTAAATTGATAAAGGTAGTTTTGTTTAATTTTAATACTGTTTTTCTTTTTTCTCCAAGTTTTTATGAGATAGTCATCCAACTAACCAAGTAAGTCATTTAGGTACAGAAGAGACAATGCAGCCAGTCTGGAGACTAATAGAGGAAAAGAGGAAATAAGATTTATTTTCCAAGGTAGAAACTGATGTGCTAAGTAAAGTCTGAGTAGGAAAGAACACAAATAATACAATTAAAACCGTTAACAAAAGAAATTTTGGAAGAAAAAAATTCAGGAAAGCAAATGTATGTCTTCATAATAGATCAAGAAACAACAGATCAAGGAACTCTTACAGTCACTTTTAATTTCTAAACTAATTTTAACATATTTGATAATATTAACTAAAACATATTTATATATATTATTTTATTCAAGAACCCTTTTAATATTGAGAAAACTGTTGAAACATACATTAAACAACTTATTTAAGGTCATAGAGCTACTAGTGTGGAGCCACGATTCTAGCTCAGAAATCTGACCACTGAGCCCAGATTTCTAACGCCTGTATTATTCTGTGTCTCAGTAACTCCCTGGACTATGAGAGCCAATTATTTTTACCATGTATTTGGCTGTTCCCCATTCCAGTAATATCACTGAATGTTAATTAAACTGCATTTCTTCCCAATTTTGTTTTACACTTCACATTTTTCTATCTCTATTCTAAACGTATCCATCACTTTTTAAAGAACTATACATGATCATACTCTAAAACCATATCAGTTACCTTTTTCATCCCATTTAAAAATAATTCCAAGTTGTTGCAATAACCAACTCCATATATTCCTTGATGGTTCTAACAGTTTTCAATGCTAAAATGTTTTTCAAAACGAATTCATGATTGCTCTCTTCCACCTACTACCTGAGTCTGATAAAACAATCTTTTGGGTACATCCCCTAAGTTTATCACTACTATTTCCACTGTAATCACTGTCTTGGTGTAGAATTAACCCCTGGTCATTCACAGAATGTAAACGAATTTACGAGAGTCTACAAGAATAAGAAAAGATTTATTGAAAGTGAGAGAGAGAGAGCATTTTGGTAAAGGGAATTTTGCCAGGGCAGAGCCCAATACGGACAGCTGGACCAACGAGGGGTGCTGGGGTTTTACATTTTTCCAAGCAGGATGTAGGGTGCTTGTCAGCTTGCAGGGGGGCTGCCATTACAATTGTCTTCTCCTGGGAACTTTCCTGTTCCCATCTATGAAGGATGTCAGCTTGCAGGGGGTTGCTGTTGTGATTGGGAACTGTTCTATTCCCATCTATGATGGGTGTTTGTTAGTGTGCAGGGGGTTGCCGTTGCGACTAGGAACCATTCTGTTCCCAGCTATGATAGATGTAAGGTGCTTGTCAGCCTGCAGGTGCAGTGCTAGCCAGGGGAGTTAGAGCCAAGTGGTTAATGTTTAAGCTCGCTCCGGTTAGCCCACAAACTCGCTCCTGTTAACTCCTTGCCTGTCCCATCCTGCCAGCTCACAAGCCCACTCGGTTAACTCTTTACTTGGCTAATCAATCACTAGATCAGCAGCTCCTCATTTGCTCTGGCTATTAACTCCTCAGAGAGCAGCTTCCTTCAAAACCCCTCATTTTTTCCAGGTTTCCCAAAGACCACTTGGCTTATCCTGTCTCTCCAAAACATGACCAATAACTAGGAAACGTTTACCTTTCTCCCTTTTCATCATCTGTAGCTTCCTTTGGGCTTTTCTCCCAGCCTCTAGTTTGTTTTTACCCATGGCTTATTTAGTTCTGCATTCCCACTCTGAGATGGCCCAGGATAAGGCCGGAGTCTCACAGCCCTAAGCTCTCCTTCACTTGACTGGGATGCTTATTATATCTGCTGCTATTGCTTCCCCTCTTCTTTCAGTGTCTACTAATTCCTCTTTGATCATTTCCAAAAGTTAGTGCAGGGGTTTTCTCAGCCTACCATTCTCCCTTCTGAGTTAGTTATTCTGTTTAACTCTCACTGTCAAGAGATTTTCTACAGCAAGTTGAGATTCCACATGGTAAAGTGTAAGTCCAGTTAAAGATAATGTAGTTCAATGGAAAGAAAATATGCTAACTAGTCTGAGTTTAAATCCCAGTTTCCTTACTTACTAGCTACATGACCTTAGGCAACTTGCTAAATTTCTCTGAATCTTGGATTTTTCCCCTCTGTAAAACAGAGGTAATAAAAGAACACTATCCTCAAAATGTTATTGTGAATATTAAGTAATAGCGCATGTGCACTACTGAGAATATTGACTGGGACACAGTTATGCTCAATAAATATTAGTTCCTTTCCCTCCATTTCTTTTTTCTCCATTTTTAATGTCCTTTCTAGAAACAGAAAACAGCTGCTCACCATTTTCTGAATAGTAGTGGAATGTCTTCTTTGTCTAATATTCTAGTTAGCCTTATCGATGCCTTTCAATATAAACAAGGGATTATGAGTAGAGTAAGAATCAGTTTCAGTTAATGTAGGCAACATATTGTGATTAAAGAGTGACTCAAAGTGCCAGCCTCGGAGTCACAGCAGTTCTGTTTGAATCTGGGCTCTGATACTTTCTAGTCAAATGACTCTGGGCGGCTTCAAACTCTGAGCCTCAGATTGTGTATTTGTAAGGTTGAGATAATAAGGGTAACTATTTCATTGAGTTATTATGAGAATTTGATGAAATAATCCAAGTAAAGTGCTTAGCTCAGTGCCTCACATATAAGTGTTCACTAAATGCTAATATTAAAGGATATTTTTAAATTTATTAAAGAGGCAAATAAAATATTCCTAGAATTAATATTTAATCTGAGGTATTAATATCATAAAACATACATACTGGGTGGGGGTTAAGGAAGTCTTGAGTTTGAAATAGTCTGATTATACTTAATTAGGATTGTGTTTAAAATATAGGTTCTACAATCAGGCAGCTCTAAATTTGAATCCTAGCTCTGCTACTGACTAGTTAGTTACCGGTATGTCACCTTATAAAAATGAACTGAGTCTCAGTTTCTTCATCTATAAAATGCTGATAAATTGTAATGCCTATATCTTGAGCTCTGGAATATGCCAGAATAGCACACTGGCCAGCATCTGTTTTGGTTGCCTATATCATTCCAATTATTAAATATTTTGAATATCACACTTGCCCATATCTCACAGGATTGGTTTAACGATTAAATGAGGTAATGGGGGCCGGTTGAGTGGCGCGTTGGTTAGGAGTTGGCTTGGGAGCGCCAGCTCTGAGCAGCAGGGCTCTGGTTTGAATCCCACATGGGGGCCAGTGACGCTGCGCCCTCTACAGCTAAGATGGTGAACAACAGCTCGACCTGGAGCTGGGCTGCCCTGAGTTGCCAGTGACGGCGCAGGCTGCAGTGGGGCTGCAGTGGGCTGCCGTGAGCTACCGTGAGTGGCTGGCAGCCAGCGTAAGCAGCTGGCAGCTGGTGTGAGCTGCCAAGAGCGGCTGTCCAGGGGCCGGCGACTCATCTGCCTCACCTGGAAAGAGCACAATGATAATACCAACATGGGCCAGTGAAGCAACATCCTCCACAACTAGACTGAAGAACAAAAGGACAGCAACTTGTCTGTTCTCCTTCCCCTCCCCCAATTCCCCAATAAAATCTTTAAAAATAAAATGAGGTAATGGATATAAAGTACACTATAGATAGTACTTTATACATAGAAGCTACTCATAAATCAGATATATCTGGTGTCATTTTAATGATTTTAAATAATTTTATTTTTAAAATTATCAACAAATTTAAATAATTTAGAAATTAAAAATGAAAACAAATACCTTCGTGCTCATTTAAAATAAATTCCACTGGATTACTAATACCCAGTCCAGAACAACGAGGTAGCAGCAGAATCACTTTAACTTTCTGTAATCTATTATCTTTTGATTCAATGTTAATAAATGCCTGGTGAAGTATTTCAATATCTGGGAGAAAAAAAACAGAAAAATTAATCTAAAAATATTAATTAAAAGTCTTAATGTAATATATAAACATACCTATTCATCATTGTTCATTTTTAAATCCTCGATACCACAAGTCATTTTAATGTAGTCAGAAAAGCGGACTATTCTTCTCTGATAAGTTCTCAAAATTAATACATGAATTTTTAGTGTTTTCTCTATACTTGAGAGAATGACTTTGAAGTTTAAATATCTTCTACATAAAATATTATTTAAGTTTTCCATTCTGAACTTCAGATTCCATTTAAAGCAATATGCTGTGGTGGAAGGAAATCTCTTTTGAGGCAGAAATACCCAAGTTTGACTCCTGACTTCACTATTTACTCAATGTGTGACTTAATCTCTCCAAGCTTCCATTTCCTTATTCATAAAATGAAATAATAATGCCTACTTCATCTAACTGAGGTGAAGACTGATATAAAGTAGTTAAGCTTAGTATGGTGCCTAGTACAACTAAATGCTCAGTAATGGTTATTCTCTTTTCCCATTTTTTATCCCCTTTTATATTCTATCTTCCCCAGAGGAAAAAAAAAATAGGTATCAGTACTATTTCAGAGGCACAGTAGTAATTTAGGGATTTTAAAATTTAGTTTAAGAGAGTCTGCCCTCCCTCAAGTTATAACTCTCTGTGCCCCTATGTTAGGCCACACTGCCGCTTCTGTAATGCCTCCTATTCCTCTCGCCTGCTGAGGAGTCACTCCTGAAACTGACCCACCCAACCCCTTCCTCTTACCTGATCAATTTTTTCCTATTCCTATTCTCTTTTGAAATTGTTGTGGTTTCTTTTTTCTTTTTTTTTAATCAAGTGGGCCTTACCCTTTTTTCCACTGTTTTAAACTTTTTATTGGAAAAGTTCAAACGTATATAAAAATAGACAAAATATATAATAAATTCTCAAGCACTTTCCATGATTCAATAGTGAACCATTCACCCAATCTTGTTTCATCTATATCTGCATCCATCACCATTTCCATCACCAAGATACTTCCTTATTATCATCAAATAGTAATGGTATCAAATCATGGCTCAAATTTCCCAACAGTCACACATGTCAAAAATTCTTTACAGTTTGTTTGAATCAGTTTCTAAATAAAATACATACATTGCAATTGGTTGATATGTCTTATTTTAAATTTCTTTGTATAGGTTCCCTTTCCATGTTTTCTTACCATTTATTTCCTAATGAAACTTCGTTGTTTGTACGACCAGAATTTCCCAGTTTGGATTTTGCTAATTGTTTCCCTAGAGTATAGTTTCACATGTTCCTGTCTTCTATGCTTCCTATAAAGAAGATCTGCGCTTCTAAATTGGATCTTTAGAAGCTTAATTTCTCAGGTTCTTTTCCTTTTTTTGTGTGTGGCAGGCAGGAGGGGAGCAAAACTACTTCACAATTGGTGTCATATTCATCCACTATGTTGCCTTTGTGGTATCAGCAAAGAAGTTACAAAATCATCCTATGGTAGTTTCCCCTCCCCACCCCCATGGTTTTGCTTTCCACAATTTCAGTTATCTGTGGTCAACCATGGTCCAACAATATTAAATTTCTCCAACCATCAACATCTGCTCCTGACATCCAACTATTGACATCGTCATGGCTTGATGATCCAGGATCACCCAAAGCAGGTGATCCTCCTCTGACATATTGCCAGGTCAGTAGTAGCCTATGTCACTCACCTCACTTTATCTCATCATGTAGGTATTTTTTCATCTCACATCTTATCACAAGAAGGGGAAAGGTGAGTAAAGTACAATAAGATATTTTGAGAGAGAGAGACCATATCCACATAACTTTTATTACAGTATTTTGTTATAACTGTTCTATATTATTAATCTCTTACTGTGCCTAGCTTATAAATTAAACTTTATCACAGTTATGAATGTATAAGAAAAACAAACTATATGTAGGGTTGGGTACTATCTGCAGTTTCAGGTTCCCATTGGGTATCTTGGAACATATCCCCTACAGATAAGGAACAACGTATTCTAATTCTATCATCCCTTTTTCATTCATTACCTGGAATACTTCTAAAAGGAGAAGCTTGCCTCCCTCTACCACTTGGTTACACAGTGGTTCCTATTCTCCCTTGTTAACTAGATAAAATGTGATCAACTATTTGAGAACTCTAATGTGTACAGAAATAATAATTGCAGAGTAGCCACTACTCACCATGGCTGAGAGGGAAGTGAACAAGGAACTTAGAAAGTCAGAGGAGTGGAGCCCCTGCAAGGCTGAGATTCGGATCTCTGAGAAGAGGGCAAGGCTAACACTGCCAGGATTCCTGCACAGCCACCACAGGACTAAACAAACACTGGGAGAAGAAGAAAGGTCTTTTTCTTCCTCTTCCAATCCTGCAATGTCTCTCCAGCACCTTCTAATGACAGTGCCTAATGTTGAGCCTGCTGGCAACGGAGAAATGGAGTATGCGGGGTATAGTTCCAAGACCACAAAGCAGGGCAAGTGATACCTGGCCAGCTTCTCAACCCACTTTTTCTTCATTCTTATCCCACTTCTCTAGTGGATCCTTTGCGAGATACTTTTTATTCAATTTCCTGACATCTAAATATTAGAAGGTACATATTCAACTTTAGTGATTAACTAATTTTCCAAAGTAGTTGTACAAATGTACACTCCCACCATGGTTTGAGTATTCCCAATGCTCCTTACCTTGCCAATACATGGTACTACCAGTCTTTTTAATTTTATGATTCTGGATGTGTGGATGTGTGGTGGTAGGTTGTAATTTTAAGTGCATTTCCCTGATTACTAGTGAGGTTGGGTACTTTTACATAAGTTTTTTGGGTTTGTTTATTTGTTTGTTTGTTTGTTTGTTTGTTTTGCATCTGGATGTCCTCTTTGTGAAATGCCTCGTCATGTCTTGCACGTTTTCCAACTGGGTTGTCTATCTTATTTTTTGTTAATTTGTAAGAATTCCTTATGCACTGTGGATAAATCTCTTCATCTGTTTATATGAGTATGCTCCCTCTTACAGTTTGCCTTACACTCCCTTTATGCACAGTTTTATTTAATTTACTGTAATCCAATTTATCACTCTTTTATGGTTAGAGCTTTGTGTCCTGTTTCAGAAATCTTAGATGATGTATTATAGAATTGTATACTTGAAACATATGTAATTTTACTAACCATTGTCATCCCAATAAATTTAATTTAAAAAATAATAAATCTTCAACAACCCCAAGTCATGAATTGTTTATCCTTCAATAAGTTCTAGGTTCTAGATTTGTATATATGCTGTGACGTGAGGGTCCGTTTCATTTTTCCCCAGCACCATTTACTAAAAAGACCATCTCTTCCTTAATACTCTGCAGTGTTAAGTCTATGATGTTTGCTGCATATATATCATGAATAAATGTTAAATTTTGTCAAATTTTTCTCTTTGCCACATCTACTGGGAGGATGAATATCACTCTCAGCAATCAGACTGGCAACATTCCAGAAAATGTGGACATCTATGAAGGGACTCACAATTATTATGAAGGGCCCCAGAGGCACCCTGCGGAGGAACTTCTAACACATCAATGTGGAACTCAAGTCTCCTTGGAAAGAAGAAGAAGAGAGGCTTCCATTACAAAATGAGGCCTTTGTATGTTCACTTCCCCATCAATGTCATTATTCAGGATAATGATTCTCTTGTTGAAATCTGAAATTTCTTGGGTGAAAACACATTTGGAGGGTTCTGATGAGGTCAGGTGTTGCTTGTTCAGCATCTCAAGCCCAGAAAGATGAGTTAACACTTGAAGGAAATGATATTGAACTTGTATCAAATTCAGCTGCTTTGATTCAACAAGCCACAACAAGGATATTGGAAAATTTTTGGATGGTATCTATGTTTCTAAAAAAGGAACAATTCAGCAGGCTGATGAGTAAGATCTAAGTTGCCCAGCTATAGAAACACCAAGATGTTGGGTGATTCCTCAGACTTATTTGTGATATTTTAAAGATGCAATAAAAGTCATGTATTGAAAAAAAATGTTTTAATCTAATTTCTTTTCTGCATCTATTAAGGTGATTATGATTTTCCTACTTCCAGTAACGTGATTACATAAATTGATTTTTAAGAGTTAAACCAATTTTGCATTCCTAAAATAAACCCAGCTTATTTATAATGTATTATTCTTATATATTGCTAAATTAAATTTGCTAATATCTTATTTATAAAATTTCAGTTTGCTAATATTTATTCCTTACAACTCTTCTCATGAGTGACATTGACCTGTAATTTTCCCTCCTTTAATGTTCTTTTCAGGCTTTGATATCAAGGTTATAAAACAAACTGGAAAGTAGTCCCTCTTTTTCTATTTTCTTAAGTATTATTTCTTCCTTTAAAGTTGAAGTTTTTTTGTTGTTTTTTTTTTGGAGGGGAGTTTATTGCTTTTTGCTTGTTTGTTACTTTGAATTCAATTATGTGCTCAAAAGACATTAATATCCACTAATAAGATCTCAATAAGATACAAGAGTATTCAGATTTTCTATTTCTTCTTTTGTCAGTTTTGGTAAGCTGTGTTGTTCCAGGAATATGCCCATGTTCACGTTTGTTGGTGTTATATTGCTTATTGTATCTTTTCATTATGTTTTAGCCATCTCTAGGATCTATAGTGATATCTCCTTATCTACTGCTGATAACAGAATTGTTTTATGATATCTTTTTCTTGATGAGTCAGATTAAATTCAGGTTCCTTATCCATTTTTAGTTGTGATAACTGTCTTCTTATTATTGAGTTGTTTATATATTTTAGATACAAGTCTTATCAGAAATATGATTTGCAAATATTTTCTCCCATTCCATGTGTTGTCTTCTTACTTTCTTGATAGCAGCCTTTGAAGAACAAAGGTTTTTAATTTGAATGAAGTCCAATTTTTTATTTTCTTTTGTTGCTGTGCTTTTGGTGCTATATCTAAACAACCACTGCTAAATCCAAAGTCACAAAACTTTACTGTGTTTTCTTCAAAGAACTTTATAGTTTTGCCTCTTACACTTAGGTCTTTAATCCATTTTGAGTTAATTTTTGTATATGGCTTGAGGTAGGAGTCGAACTTCATTATTTTGCAAGTGGCTGTCTAGCTGTCCTAGCACCATTTGTTGTTCCTTCCTCATTGAGTGGTTTTAGCATTATATATATCTTTTTTGGTTAATTTGTAAGAATTCCTTATACACTATCGATAAAAACTCATCATCAGTTTATATAAAATATATAGAGCATATAACATGTTAATATGGTATTCCAATTCCATATTCCATTTCCCTCCCCTTTGTTATTAATTATACATTTTTTATTATTCATTGATTGCTCCAAATATTATAACACTGACTTAATAATTTACTACTTTTACCATTTCAGGAACAAAGCAAGGATGACAGCACACATTAATTCCATTTCCTTCTATGTGCCATTGTTGTAATTTATTTTAATTACATCTAACATACATATTTTTAACCCCACAAGACATTAGCTTACAATCCCAGAAGACATTAGACTATAATTATTTAGATTTACCTACGTACTTACCTTTTCCATTATTCATCTCTCCCAGCAACCACAATTTTCTATATGAGATAATATTCCTTCTACTTAAACAATAATCTTTTGTATATTCTTTATCATGTCTGCTGGTGACAAACTCTCATAATTTGTTTGTCTGAGAATGTCTTTCTTTCATTTTACTTTAAAGGATATTTCTGCTGAGTATAAAAATCTAACCTGGAAGTTTCTTTCATTACTATGAAGATATTATTTCATAGTCGTTTGGCTTCAGTTGTTTCTGTTGAAAAGTTTTAGTTTTATTGTTATTCCATTGAGAGTAATATGTATAATACCATCTCCATGGTCTCAACTTTGCTCTTTGTCTTTGGTTTTCAGTAATTATGGTATGAAATGCCTTGTATATTTCCTATATGTTATTCTTATCAGAGTTCATAGGGCTTCTTAAACCTATGCCTTAATTTATTGCATCCATTTTGATAAATTCCCAGCCTAAATTTCAAATATTGTTTCTTCCCAGTCCCTCTTTTCCTCTCTTTCTGGGTTCCCAATCACAAAATAAGACCATGGGATCATTGAGTCTCATGTGTTTTATGATCTCTTCCAAATTATTCATTCTTTTGTCTCCCAGTGCTTCAGTCTGTATATTTTCTTCTGGCTTATCAGTGCACTTATTCTTTCTTTAGTTCTGTCTAATCTATTAAATGTATCTATTTTTTAATTTCAAATATTGTATTTTTCAGTTCTAGAATTGTTGTTTTTACTTTTAAAAAATTATTTCCAGTTCTCTGCTGAAATTCTACAACTTGGCATAATAGTCTCTTCAGCATATTAGTTATATTTATTTTAAAGTCCACATCTGATATCTCCAGTATTTGGACCTTCTGTGGGCTTGCTTCTATTATAGTGTTTTTCTCTTTATTTCAGCCATATATTTTCTTCTTGCTTGTCTGGTTTTTTGTGTGTCTGTTTGTTTTGTTTTGACTGCCAGACATTGCATTTGAAAAAATTTAGGAGATAACATGAGATCTAGGAATGATGTGATTTCCTTCCAGAGATAATTTACTTTTGCTTCTGGTAGGCAGCTAAGCCTGAGCACTAGCAATCCCAGATCATCTTAATCCTACTGCTAATTGAGATGACTGGCATTTGGGCTTCAATTCATTGGAGGACTGATCACTATCCAGGGTATAATTCTTTTGTAAAATCCTGGGTATTTACCAGTCTTCCTCTCCTGGTCAAGCCCTGAATTCTACTTGTTCTCCCCCTAGTGCTGTGAATCTGTCAAAAGTTATTTTGGTTTTTTTTCAATAGGTTTTCAGCCTCACTGAGCCTATAATAAATGTTATAGTCTCAGCATGATCCAGTGAAAAACTTAAAAAAAATAAGAACCCTAAGGGACTTAGCTTCTAGTCCTAGATTTTATCTTTGTCCCTTAAGCACTGCTTTGACTGTGTTCTTATTTATTAAAGGATGATTATTTCTACCACCCACTTTAATTATTGTTTGCACATAACATTATACTCATATATAGTAGCTAAATATCAAGCAATATACCAAAGTGCCAATATGTTCATTAATTTAAACTGCAGTTTAACCAGTATTAAGCAATAAGAACAGATTGATATAATATGGATTGGTGAGGATTTTAAGAGTATAGTTCATATATAGAATTTTTACATATCTAAAAAATAACAAATTCAACATGTTTAATATTTCTAAATCCTGTAGAATATTAATTATCAAACAAATAAATATTTGTACATACTTTTACATCCCATTTTTGTGAAAAGGTTCTTCAGGTCAGGATGCTTAGCTTGTGATTGTACTCCACACACAAAAATTTTTGAGCTATTATTATTTGTTAAGGCTGACATATGGGCAACCGTGTACCACGAACCTGTATTGACCAGTAAGATATCATCATCCATATTTAATAAAGCCTTTACAGAATGAACAGCAAGACTTCGAGATTTGTCCTACAAGATAATGGTATGATTAGAATTTCAAAGGGTTTGACTAGAAGCATGAGTTGATTTCTTTTTGTCTTAGGTAAAAGAAAGTACTTAGAGGAATCTTGAAGAGATACCTAACCCATTTTATTTTAAAACATCTTAATATATGTTAAAATACAAAGTTAACAAAGATAATTGAATAAACTGACTTAAAACAGAAACCTAACTTTGTTTAGCCTAAATTATGACTGTTACCATTTAACTTTACGTAGTGATAAGGCAATACCAAAATCCCAAACATGTGTGATTAATAGAGTAGTGATGTCCTGCCTTAGCTCCCATTTTTATCCACTCATGAAAACCCACTCATCGGCTACTGCCATTCTTCCTTCCCCTTTCCATTTTCATCTAAATTGCTGCTAGTTTCCAGAGATTAAAAGATGGTTTACAAGCATATAAAAGGGGGCTAGACAGATTGGGATCGCAGTGGATCTCAGTGCTCAATAGGGTGTCACTATAATATATTAAAGACATAATGGGAAAGTATTACACATTGCATTTTCAAATGCAGGATGGCACTAGCATCTTTCCCAGAAATGGAAGGACGAAAAGGTGTCATTGTACCTTCTCTCTCTCCCTCTCTTTTTTCTAGTTTCAGGTGTACAAAACAATACAATGATTAGACATTTATACACCTCACAAAGTGATAACCCCCCCAAGTCTACTACCCCTCTGACACCATACATAGCTATTACAATACCACTGACTATATTCCCTATGCTGTACTTTACATCCCTTGACAATATACCGTATTTCCCCATGTATAAGATGCACCTTAATTTTGGGGCCTGAAATTTGAAAAAAATGTATTACATAAAGTTATTGAACTCAAGTTTTATTCATCTTAAAATTCATACAACTCCTCATCACTTGTGGGAAATGCAAGTAAAAAAATCTACAACCACTGTATAAGACGAACCCAGTTTTTAGACACCAAATTTTTCAAAAAAGGGTGTGTCTTATACATGGTGAAATACAGTATACGTACTTAATTATAGTTGACATTCAATATTACTTTATATTAGTTTCAGGGGTACAATACAGTGGTTATGCACTGTATCTTCTCTTGAATCCTCCCTTGGGAGAGAAAAATATAGCTGCCGGTCACACAAGTCTCCCATCTGCGGAGGCTGGGGAGAATATGTTCTTTACAACTTCCCATGAGGCAAAGGTGCCAAAGTATGATAGGAACACTGACTGAGTGTAGAGGTATTAATTTCATTAAAGGTAAAAATTAGACCTTATAAATCTCCCTGATAATCTATAAAAAATATGATCAGTAGGTTAGGTCTTATTTTTAAATGGTGGGATTCTTGAGATAAGTAGAATTATTGAGAATCACAATGAATGTAAATGTTAGTTTACCTGAAATATCAGTTTATAATCTTTAAAAAGATCTGTATTTAGAAGATCACTTTTAAGATGAGATGGAAAAATTAATACATCATAGCAATGTTGGTCCACAGCAAAGACTTTATCATCAATATGCAATATAGATTTGACTTTATTGTAGCCTTTTTCCTTCAAACTATGGTAAACTTCTTCAGGGCTGTAAATATACAACATTAGGTTGTAGTTAGTTACAAATACACGTATGACACATTAAAACTGTATTTAACACTAGCACCTTTTTCCTATAACAAATAAAAATATCACTGCATATATTGCATCTAATAAAACTTACAATGTTAGCCAACAATAAATTAACAGATACAGAAAAGTTAACATATTTATATAATTAGTTTTGGTAATTTGCTGGTAAGATCCTGAACTAAATTATGATTCCCCAATTACTCCCCCCGATGTGCAACCCACGCATTAAAAACGTAGTATCTCTTATCATTATTTTGAAAGGTTAGCAACTTGAAATATGAATAAAGAATTTGATTAACACTCTTACCTGATTTTGTAAGTATTTATCCAAGCGTAAAGTGGCAAAGTGGAGGCCCTTAGTTCCTGTTTCCTAATGGTTTCTGGAAGAATGTGGTAAATGGAAAGGGCATCATGTTTGATTCGATATCTTGCCAATGACGCAGCCAATTTTGTCTTAAAACTAGAGATAAAAAATCCATTCTTGGTGACAAGATTGCATTCAAGACAAGACTATCAATTTTCCATTAGAAATATTAACAAATTAGATTTCAAATTTTAACAAATCTTTCAGTAATTCTATTTCAAATTTTTGTAATCTAAAATAAAAATTTGCCATATTTGAAAATAGAAATCCCAGAATCCTGCCTCTTTTTTTCAGTATTTGCTGCCCCAGTATAGTTGTGCATCTCCTCAGATATTTATATCAATTGCTGGTTGAGACAAATTTGATGTAGTGAAAGAGGTGCAGAACTTAGAATAAGACAAATCTGAAGTTAAATTCAGGTTCTGTCACTTACTAGCTGTGTTGCCTCAAGATGGCAACAACATAGTCTTGATAAAATTAAGGAACTTGCACGAATCTGTATCAAGCCCTTCCCAGTTCTGATTATCCCATGCCTCAAAGTTCCAAATAACGGAAAAGAAAACCAAAAATTGGTTAGCATTACCATGAAGACCCAATCATATTTCTTGATCTCATAGCCCAAATGTTTAATAAATGAGAATACAGGACTTACTCTTGACCCATATTCATATCACTTCTCAGTAGGAATCTAATGGAATAATAAACCTCAAGGAAAACCTTGAATGAGAAATGGGGAAGAGATGCCACAAAATAGTCAGGTGTAACCAGAGCGGTGTGTGTGGCTGCCAAAAGCTTAACAAAATTAAGCTTATTATCTACTCAGTAGAATGAGAACTTTTCACCTAAGAATGTGTTTATGTGTGAATATGCATATGTTAAGTAGGCAGTGCAGGAGTTGGGGAGGCAAAGGAGGGAGGGAGGAAGCCAGGGAGGGAGGGAGAGAAGGAACACAGGGCACTTGGGCAGGCGAGGGAAGGGTTATCAAACATTCAGCCTTCTAGGGCTACAATAAAATTAGGCTGGTGTAGTGCTATGTCCTAATGTCACAGAACTATAGCAAGGGACACTAAAAGCAATTACATAATACATTAATGCACATCAAAGAATAAATTAATATAAAGGAGGTAAGTTACTGTTCTATATTATACACTGTGAGATAATTCTGAGTACAGACTATTTTTGATTAAACATTCCTCCCAAATACCTACATAGTTCAAATTTACCACAATAAACACTATTGACTGAATTATTTAATCATGAAATATAAAGATTAAAGATATGAAGCCTAGAAAAATATATGTGTTGTGTACATGGGGTGAGTACAGGGAGAAATAATTTTCCAAATTTCCAGATAGCAAACATTTCAGACTGTGAATTTTAATATAATTTCATTACACAAAAATAATTTAAATTATTAAAATAAATAAATTTTAAAAATAATTTAAAATATATAAAGATTCTTACATAAATATATAATATTGGCTTGAGGACAAAGACCAAATCTAAATGCTATTAGAATAACCAGACATATTACTTCTGTACATGACATATCCAGTGGTTATGAAAACATTTCTTCCACAGCTGTAAGGCAGACTGCAATGATGAAAATGGAAGCAAAAAGAGCCCTTCCCAACATTCCTGATCCAGAAGTCCATCTCCCACTAATTTGAATGTTATCACAGAAAGTTGCTCAGTTATCTTTTTACCAGTACCCCTGTTGTACATATAGCCAGAGCTTGCTTTCTGTATGTTCATTTGTAGCTATGTAATTCCTAAGGTTAAGTCTCCATCCCACAATCTCTCATGGCTACAACGGACATATTTCTATGTCATATCTTTAATCTTCCAGAGGACTTCAGCTAAGCCTCACTATCCTAAGTGGAAGGAGTGTAGCAAATAAATGGTTAAAGGTTGGGTTCTGGAGCCAGCCTTCCTGAAATTTGAATTCTGGCTACTCCCCTTTCTAGCTTTATGGTGTTATGTAGGTTCCTTTAACATCTCTGTGCCTCAAATTTCCTAGGTGTAAAAATGCAGGTTGGTAACAGTATCTACCTCATAATGTTGTTATGAGTATGTAAAGAGCTTCTTTTTTTTTTTCTTTCAAAATGTATTGATGACATTTCTTCTTTGTTTCATTACCAATTATATGATGCTTTTTTTTTATTAGTTTCAGGTGTACAAAACAATGTAATAGTTATCCATTTCACCCCTAAAAGTGATAACCCCCCTCCCCCAATCTATTGCCCCTCTGACGTCGTATATATCTATTCACTTCCATTGACTCTATTCCCTATACTATACTCCATATCCCGTGACTATATATATATTAAATTATAGTTGACATTCAATATTATTCTGCTTCAGCTTCAGATGTACAGTGCAGTCGTCAGGCATCTACACCGTCCATGAAGTGCTCTCCCTAAGAAGACATGTGCCCATCTGACACCCTAAAAGGTATTTACAATCTTATTGATTATATTCCCCAAACTGTCTCATATCCCTGTGACAATACTCTAGCTACCAATTTATGCTGTCTAATCTCCTCCCCTCCTCCCTCTTCCTCACCCCCCTCCCATCTAGCAACCATCAGTTTTTCCTCTATATCTCTGAAAAATATGGAATGCTTCACGAATTTGCGTGTCATCCTTGCGCAGGGGCCATGCTAATTTTCTCTGTATTGTTCCAATTTTAGCATATGTGCTGCCGAAGTGAGCACGTAAAGAGCTTCTTATAACAGTGATTAATACATATTAAGTGCTCAGTAAAAGTAAGCTATTAATATTACTCCATTACTTGAGTCCTCTGGTCTCAGCCTTCATTAATTTAAATAAGACTACTCGGATTTCCCATAACAATATAAAATTGGTATACTGACAACTGTTTCAAATTGTTCACTAGGTAAAAATCTTACAAAATTGCTGTTGTTGCTAAATTGTGCTTTCCATTAAGCAACAGCATAACAACAGAAGCTCTAACAACAGTAGCACATAAATAAGATTTATTGACCATTTACTGTGTGTCTGGCTCTAATCTAAGCATTTTACATGCATTAGTTTAATTAGTTCTTCCTACCACCTTTTTATTATTATCACCATAGTAGGTTTCTGCTGATATTTAAGATAAAATGAAAACATATTAGTTTGTGTTTAAGTAGAAGTTGTTTTTTTTTTCAACTTGGCAAATCAGTGGGATTACTGTTGGAATTTTATCATTTGATACATGTTAGATTTTTTTAAAAGAGCTATAAACAAAGCAAAGTAAATAAATAATAGCAGTTTCAAATGAAGTTTAATTGATGTTTAAATTCTTATGAATTTTTCATGATTTTCCAAATACTTACAAGTTTAATCTTGCAACTGAAGCTTTCAAAAACAACTTGATTTTAAACAGACTATTTAACCTGTTCAAGACTAAAGGAGCTTAAGAAACTTGTGAACTTTTATATTTTTCCCTATAAATTTTAACACTTATCTACACATTAAACTGTATTATAAAATCTTACCAGTGAAACTACTAATAACAATTTCATATACAACATCCTTTTCACGTTTACAATCACCTGTTAAGAAGGTTCTCTACTTCTTGAACTTCTGTTATGGAATCTTCATTATCAGAAAGGAAACGAGCTTGAAATTTTCTATCTTGGAAATCATACAGCATCACAATAATCAGACTGCTCAAATGATCTGGCTAACAAGGGGAAACACATAAAGAAGAGTATACAAACACTATCTAATAGCAATATTTTCCATTCCATTATTTTTCAGAAGAGAGAAAGAATATGACCATTTTTACATAGTTTGGTTGGATTGGGAGATAAAGATTTCAAAATAAAAAAAATTTTAAAAAGGTCCAGTAACATAAATGTTTCAAAAAAGACAATTTCTGGTATATTCATCAAAATGAAAGGACTAGGGTCAGTATTAGAAGTACTAGAAGTAGGAAAGAATTAAGGATATATTTTGAAGAGGTCTCAGCATTAAGCAAACTAGTTATTATTTAAATCTGAAGGCTTTTTAGTACTTTCTAAATAACAATTATGAGACAGCTAATTATATAAAAGTTATCTACTTACTATTGTGGTACTTGGAAAGATATAGCTATCTATTAATATAGTTTCCAAAATATCTTGATCTGCAAGACAAGGAAATGTCTGTTACTAAATAGACCAAAGCTGAAAATGAAAATTTTGGAATCAAAATATACTTTCAACAGTGTCATAAAGTACTTTTACTTTCATATCTAAAATATACCTCAATTCTTTATAAAGATTTAAATTGCAATGACATGATGAAATATTTATAATCTTTATGAATTCTGGACCCTTACCACCCAGGCTCCACATGGAATCGTGGTCAAAGGCGCATTATCTGAATAGTCACAGTAGTATTATAATAAAGAAATTCCAACCTTTAATGTATGTCTTTTGAAAAATATTAAAGAAGATCTAATTCATAATGTCTGATCTTCTTTATATATTGCTGGATTCAATTTGCTAATATCTTATTTAGGAATTTTGTTCTATGTTTTTGTTCATGAGGGATGTTGGTCTATAATTTCTTTTCTTGTAATATCCTTGTCAATATTGGTGTCAGGGTTATGCTGGCCTTATAAAGTGAGTGGGAAGAGTTCCCTCCTCTATTCTCTTGAAGAATTTGTGTTAGATTGGTATTATTTCTTAAATAATTTGTAGAACTCACTAGTTAAGCCATTGATAAGACGTGATAAGGTGACATTTAATCTAAGGTCCAAATGACAAGGAGCTAATTAGCCATGTAAAGATCTGGGAGGAGAGAGCATTCCAGGCAGAGGGATAACTGCAAAGGTACTAAGTGGAAATAAATGAACATATTTAAAAATCTCCACAGGATACAAGTATTCCTTTTGTTATACTTACGTAAATTACATGTGCACCCTACAACAAACGCTTTAATCAGTTGAACAAAAAGTTAGGCTAGCTTCAATTCATTTAACATTTATGGGCACACATTCAATTTCAGTTTTTATTTAGGGGATGAGAAAACTTAAAAAAATGACTAACTTGGGAGCAAAGACTCCAATTTTCATAGGAAATCTTTAGAGGATCATTATCCATAATATAGCCACTAATTATGGATGTATTGTACAAGGTAATATCCCCATTTCACTTGCAAGGAAAATGTTTAGTTTCACACCCTTAGTACTTGTAAACCAATTCCTATCTACTTCGTAGTTTCTCAGCATGATGCCCAATTTACAAACATATGTACAATTTATGTACAATTTATATAACATTCTAACATAGTAATATCCGCATTAATAATAGATGTACACTTTAGATAGTGCTTTCTATATGCTAGACATTGTTCTAAGTGCTTTCCTTATATTAATTCATTTAACTCTCATAACAAGCCTATGAATTAGGTATCATCATTAACCAATTTTATAGGTTAGGAAATGAGGCACAGAATGGTTAAGTAAGATGTTCACAGTAACACAGCAATTGGCAGATCAAGGATTCAAACCCAGACAGTCTGGCACCAAAATATATACTCTTCATAACATTATGTTTCCTTTCCTCATCTTACTCTTATCAGAAACCACAGAGGATAAATAAGACACTGCTAATGTCCGATTTGGGTAATCTGGACACACTTAATTGCAAACCTTGCCTATCCTAGTTCAGCGCAATAGCTCCAATTATCTCTTGTTCCCCACTAATTAAAGCCTCTTTTCTTAATCTCCATTCCTCATGTTTTCAATGTGGGAGGCCTTCCTAGAGAAACATGCCTAGACTCTCTCCCTACCCCTTACTCACCACTCCCTATGAAAGGAAAATTGAGTTTATCAGATTGGTGAAATTGATAGAACTAGAAACATCTCCCTCCCTCTCTATTCCTCTCTCTCCCTCTCCCCATCCACCCACCTCCTCTCGGCCAGTTTGTGCCAGGAGGCATATATGAATTCCAGGCTGCTCTCTGCCAGGTGCCTTGTGCAGTTGGGGTGGAGGGGTCTGCACTTCTTCAGCTGTGCCATGGATTTGATGGAAGTCTCTAATTCAGGAGTAAAATACTTGCAAGCCACTTGACTGGAGATCTAAAGCCATATCCTCAAACATCTTTTCCCTCTCTCTCAACTAGTTCCAAACTCCAGCGTAAAGGAGTGCTATTCATTGGACCTCTAAAACTCCCATAGTCCATCTGGTCATCCCTCCCGTTCTGGAAGAAAAATGGAAGATATTTCTTCTTTTGACTCTCCTCTAGGTTCTCCCTCTCTATTTTCATTGTGTGTTCATAGAGTTTCCTTCATATGAGGGACCTCTAGAACTTCAAGAATGTCAAGACCCTCCTATAATTACAGAATACAGATAAGATGGAGGTTTTGTATGGAAGGAGGGAAACAACAAAGTTAAGTCTTTTGGGCAAAATGAGTAAGAACAGCCACTAACATTTTTAAAAGATTTGAGAGAAATAAATACCAGGGAAAAGCTGGCATCACTAAATACAAAATCATAATACAATTAGAAATAAAACAATGTAGAACCATCAAGAAATAGAATCAGGCATGAGGTTGCTATTCTACCCTCCTTTCCGCTAGATGAAACTTCTTATCCTTCTTTCTGCTCGGTACCTTAGGTGCATCATTTAATCTCTTTTTGAGCTTCCCTCAATTTTTTCATCTGCGAAATGAGAATCTTCTATCTCAAAGGACTGGTAGATCAAATGATATAAATTGTTTTGTGAGTTACAGAGAACTATGCAAATATAAGGTATTACTATTATTATTCAAGAGAATTGTTTTAACCTCTTAGGTGACAACCAGAGCTTAAGAAGTTATTGACCTAGATAATTTTTCTAATGCATCACACACTGCAATCAAGAATTAACTCAGCAAGCCTGAGTGGTCAAACCTTGCACATTCCAAGGAATAGTTTGGCTCTTGACTGGCTCCTGAGAGATAATCTCTATAAATGCTTGGACTGTTTTGCCTGATATAAAAGTGTCCTTTTTACCTGGGGCCTTGGGTAACATGGTATCAGCTTGACTTCTGGAAAAGCAAGAGAGTGAGTAAGGTTTGGCCTCTCCTTGTCTGCATGACTGACCCCCAATAAAAACCCTGGACAGCAAGGCTTGGGGGAGCATCCCTGGTTGGCAATACTTCATTTTTGTATATTGTTGCTGGGAGAATTAAGCACCGCCCCTAAGACTCCGCCGGGAAGGGGCATCAGGAAGCCTGAATCTGGTCTCTCCTGGACTCTACCCTGTGCATCTTTTTCTGGTGCTCATTGTACTTTTCAACTTTCACTGTAATAAACTGTAACCATGAGTATAACAGCTTTGCTGAGTTTTGCGAGTCCTTCTAGTGAAATTGAGACAAAATAGGGACAGGGCTCAGCTCCACTCCCTTCACTACCAGATCCAGCACCACCCAGTTCAGCTGCTTTTGAAAGCAGAGATAAGCAACTTTCTGAACACAAAAACTTCCCCAAGGCAGCTGATGCCTTCATCCCATGGACATACAACTTTGAGTTGACTGCTATACAACCTTCCTGGGGTGGCCGTAATGAACAGCACCACCATCCTGGGCCTACCAAGCATGCACCAGGGCCTCAGCATCCAGTGTCTGTGCAAGCACCATAACCAGGAACAAAGGAGAGCATCACCCCAGCTGACATCAAGCCCTCCCTCACTCTGCCTTATACAATGCCCCCAATGGCTCCCTTCTAGTAGCCAGGCGGAGAACTCACAGTGTGTTGTCTCCCTTGTGCTGGAGCATAAGCTCCAAACAAACCTTGTCTGAGCTTCTGGTTTGGCTTCTTGTCAATTTCTACTACATAGAGAGCTTAAGAACCAACACAAGGTCAGTAACAAAATCATTGACCCTGAGGGTATCTTGGGGACCCCCAACTACAATTAATTCCCCAAACCATAACCAAACCATACATTAAGCATTTACAAGGCATTTCACTGACAGGTTAGATGATTCTGGAATGACCAGGTTAATGCCACAGCCAGTTCCTGGGACTGAAAAGTTCACCAACTACTGTATATACGGAGGGTGCCAAAAAAATTTATATACATTTTAAGAAAGGAAAACACTGTATTAAAATTAAACTGATGGTAATTACTTTGAGCACCTCTTGTAATTGCAGAAGTGAAACGCGACTTGTATTCATCTTTTGTTATCGGTATATATTACAATTTTAATGCAGTTTTCCTTTCTTAAAAAGCATATACTTTTTTTTTGAAATATATATATATGAAGAGAAAGAGAGAGAGAGAGAGAGAGAGAGAGAGAGAGAGAGAGAGAGAGAGGAGAGAAAGAGAGAGATAGGTAGATATTGGAGAAAGAATTAAGCCAGGAATAAGATCAACAATTGCAGGGACATGTCTTTCCTCAAGGTTGTTTTCTTTATTTGTTGTTCATTAATTTATTTTTTAAGAAATCATTTTGCTAGTTTTCCTTTTTTTTTTTAATTGGGGAAGAGTGTGTTTTTCCAGGACTCATCAGCTCCAAGTCAAGTAGTTGTTTCAATCTAGTTGTGGAAGGTGCAGCTCAGTGGCCCATGTGGGGATCGAACCAGCAACCTTGGTGTTATGAGCACTGTGCTCTAACCAACTGAGCTAACCAGGTACCACAGTTCCTTCTTTTTTAATTTTAGTATTCCTTGAAACATCCAGAGATTCTTTGAAAAACTAAATTAGCTGCTAGTACTCTACTTCTTTGACAAAAGTCAACCTTAATAGGAATACACTTAAGCTATCTTCATCACCTCCTTTAGCAGAAAACTGACCTTGGTTGGGGCTATTTAGTGAAACAACAGTACTGGTTGTCTTTACTTCCAAAAACATACTAAGCCCTTTAAACCTTTAAAATGTTAATCAGATAAATACACTCTCTGCTTTGAAAGAGCTTATACAAGAAGGAGGACATCAACAAAGGAGCAAAAAATAAAACTGAAAAACATAAAACACAACCAAAGGAATATACTTAACATTTGTATAATTAAGGGACTTTCTATTATTTTTTTTCTTTCCCTTGTATTTCCTCAAAAAATATGGTAACTTGATCTAATCACCTGTTCACAAATACACCAATAAAAGGGACCATTACCTAAGCTCTCTTTAGTTTGTGCTTTACCGCTCCTATAAAACCTTGGGGAAGAAACCCTGAGTTTTCTTTCTTGAACCTGTGATTCCCTTAACCTATACTGTATAAGCCAAGTGTGAGTTTACAGATATGAAAGTATTGATAAAACACTGATAAATGCAGAAGATGAACATAAAGTGCACAAGAGCCTCCAATATTTTAAAGCAAAATATCAGGCTCTTAATTATCTTGGAAAATCACTGCCTTTAGGAATTCTGGTTTTATTCCATTGGAACAATCAGAAATTATTCAGCTGATAATTTAAGCAGTATATTATTATTGTAAGAAAATAATATTTGTACCAAATAAACAACCAAAGCCATCTTATTTTAGAATTTGAACTTATAAAAATAAACATTTCAAGCAAAAGCAGGTTTGTAAAGGCCTATGACAATAATTTATCTAAATGGGATTTTCTGAGTCATTAAAAAATATCAAAGAGTAACAAGACCCTCATAAAACAAAAATAAAGATTGAGAGAGAAACTCTACTACACACATGACCATCTAGTTAGTGCATAATTTTACATAAAATAATTTCAGGCTTTTAGAATTAATTTCTAAAGGTAAGGATCAATATTCTATTAGGAAAACAAATTGTCTATAATAGAGTTTTGGCATTAACATTAAATACCAACTAATCAACACAGATGTTCAGTCTGCATTTCACTGTAGCTAGGAGAAATGTAAAAATGTTTATTTGACTGATTATTTCAAGTGCAACACTTTGGTTGGTCTTTAAAACTATATTTTTTAAGAGGATGGAGGGAAGGGATGAAACAATCTGAAAGATTAAATTAGAAGAGGAAAAATGGTTAAGACAGACTTTCAAAGAAAAAATATCACAAGCAAAAGAAAACAAAGAAATGAAAACTAAAGGGAAGTTGCCTCTTAATAGCAAACAAATTTTTCTCTATGTTGGCAAATTCCTGGCTTCATAGTTGCACTACATCATCTCTGCAGACAACCAAAAATATATAACAATGACTAAGAAATTAATGGGACATTTTAATTCAACTGAACAATTGTTAACTGCCTATGTGCAAGGGTGTGCAAAGCCCAGTAAGTATCGATACTAAAAATCGATATGCAAATGAGAGTTGGTTGCCCTTTCAAGGTGTCTTTAGAAAGCCACATGCTCATCATTTCAACCATGCTAATACTCCAAATATTCTGGAACTTCTTTTTGGAACTATATTCAATAAGTAAAAACCAATATAAACTTTATAGTTTAAATTATAACATACAGTACTGTATTATATAAGTTTATAGTTAGTACAAAAACAAGTATCTCCAGGTTGTTTGACTGCTTACTCTCATAGTAACAATATTTGGTTCTGTCCTAGGGTCAGCTCCACACTCAGAAGCGGATAATCAACCATCACTGAGTGAATCTAAAACATTCCATCTCAAACCCAAGAAGCAAATTAGAATTCTTCAGAAGTTTGGAGGAATAAATTTACAAACTCCCAAAATTAAAGCTATTGGCTATGAATGGGATCAGCTTAATTGGGGTTGACATAATTTGGATATTCATTTTTAATATATTGCGCCTTTTCTTCTTATTCTATCTCGGTTCCTTTCCCCTGTCCCTTACTGGTTTTTATATTTGTGAAAGTTCATACACTAAAATACAAGATGTAAACACAGAGAATGGAAAGAAATACCCAAGGAGAGGGAAACTATAATTGGAGATGTCAATGGCTTCTCGTTCTACCTGCTAAAGGAATTCTTTGTTCAATTTAACGACTGCATTACATCTAAGTACAAGACACCATGCTGGCAAAATCTACAGTGAAAACCAGTTCTGGCCTGATAGAGCTTGTTTTACTGAACTCTCCTAATTCCTTGACATTTGCAACTGACGCAAGGTACGCATATGTTTAAAAACAAAATATGGTGTGCATGAGGTGGGGGAGCAGGGGGGCTGCACTCGACAAATCCTGTCATTTTCTTTTAGTGCTTATCTTCAAGACTGGTACTACTCACACTTCAGGGCACTGAAAGCCAACTCATAGGACAAACGCTGAAAGGATTCATCCTTAGACTTGGACAAGGGCCGCAGGGGTTCATTCCCATACTTTATTAAGACTCTGTCTGGTGACTTTTCGATTTGAATACCCTGAAAAACGTTTGCTGCCATAACGTAAACGGAGTCCGGATAGCCAGTTTTTTCGGGTAAACCAGTGGAGTTTTTTCCGCGGGATGCTGCGTCACCTGACAGGGCCAGGGAAGCGAGTTGGGAGAGCTCGGTATTTTTTTCATTCGAAAACTGCAGTTCACTTGTGGAGTTGAACATGTTTGCTTCTTGGCTGTCGTCGGTCGCTCAAGCTTGAATTACAATTCAGATGTTCCAGGATATGGTTTTCCTTGTACCGTCAGCATCGCCTCTGTGAACAGAAAAGAGTAAATCACTGTCTCTGCAGGACCACGCCTGGTGACCCACTCCGATGGGGCCTTAAAAGGCTAAGAGGTGGCATTTGCAAGCCGATCTGAGCATTATATACTTCGAGCTGGACAAGTCCCAGCGAAACCTCCACACATTCAAAAAGGAAGAGGGGTGGAGACCGCTCGGGGATCGCCTCCGAAGCGACGAGAGGCTCTTCCCCTGGCTCTTTTTTTTGGGGTGAGGTGGGGGGTAGAGCTCCCCAATGAGCCGCGTTCACGGCCCCACGGGCGCCCATTTCCCCGGCTTCCGCGAATCCTCCCTTACCCCAGGGGGCGGATGTTTCCCGGGGATTGGGGGACCGAGACGCGGCAGCCGCTGCACTTCGGGCTGGTGTCTGAAACAGCGCCCTCGGGAGCCCCGGGGCCGCGGAGCAGCGACGGCGGCCAGCGAAGGCCGTTTGGTTCAAATGCAGCCTCACCCTCCGGCCGGGTTCGGGGCAAGGGGGTTCGCGGCCTCCGGCGCTCGCTTCGCTCCAGTGCCGGGAAGGAGGACTCACCTCGGAGCCTCGATGGGCCACGCGCGGTCACCCTTCGCGGACGCGGCGGCGGAGCAGGGCGGCACGCGACTCGGGTGGACCCGCGGGCTCAGGCCGCGGAAGGGTACGCCTCCTCCACCCCTCGCAGTGCGCCCGCCCAGGACCCAGGTCTCCATGGCAACCGGGAGCTGGGCGCAAGCCGCCCCGGGGCCGTTCCCGCGGGATTTGGCGGGTGCCGCCTCGCGCTGGGCGGGTTGCGCCTCCTCCCTCATCTCGGGATTCTTGTGCCCGCCCCGCCGCCCCTCCAAGTCCGAGGCCTCTTGTCCCGTTGCACCGTGCGGTCCTGAGAGTCCTCGATTCCCCCAGAATCGCGTGGCCCCTCTTTCCCGACACCTCCCCTACTGTCTCCTTGAAAGCCAGGATTTTGTGTGGCTGACAACACCCAGCTTTGCGGGTTTAGCACGGGAGCAGGAAATGTTGAAACAGATGAGTGTAGAACTACTGAAGAAAAGGAAAAAAAAAAAAAAAAAAGACGAGCCTACTTTATTTCCGTGTTTTTTTAGAACAATAGGGTAAGTTGTTTAAAGATCTATGCCAGTTTAAGACCGCATTCCTCCTTTCTAAAAGTTGCCTGCAAAGAATGGCGTTGCTGTAATGGACCTGCAAATGATTGAATTCGCCACACCCTCAAATAATAGAATGGAACTGGGAACATTTATAACTTTCCCAAAGGGTTTTAATATGGCTAATTTTTGAGAACCCTAGAGCGAAGTCTGCATCAAAGGAAAATCAGTTGTGCTCATTCTTATACGTACTGGAAAAATACTTTATTAATGTCTAGAATAAATCCAAATGACTGAGATTTAAGTTTTCTGTTGTATTTAAAACACTTTGATTATGGCCTTTTAACCTATTTTATCTCCAAAATGCATGTACTAAAACTAAAAAGGGAAGGAAAAGATGGCTTTTTTTTCCTATTGCCACTTTGAAATTTTTCCAGCAAATTTCAATAGGTCTGGTAGTCTAATGGTTTTAATGCCAGTCAGAATACGTAGAGCCACTTTTGCATGCACTCTAATTTCTTTTACAATAAAATTGAATGAACTAATGCAAATGTGAATACATAAAAGGCATGCAATGAAATGTAACATATATGTATTTCACATTTCTTGCCTGGTTTAGAAAAACCTTTTGTAAAATAGAATTAGGCATTGTATTATGGAACAAATTTGGCAAATTATGTTTAAAGTTTTAGGTAAAAAAAATAAATCATTTTTTAAAAATCAATAAAATAGATGCTAGTATCTATTTAAAAGAAAAAAAAAATCTGCTGGGTACTTGGTCTCCATTTTCTCCATAATGCAAAAAGAAACCAAAGCCTGAAAGTTGAGTGAAGGTCTTAACTCTGAACTAAGATCTAAGTCATATGAAAAGCTTGCAAGTGCAAGCCCAAAACTTAGCAAAAACATGCTAACTATGTTTAAGTTAAATAACCCCGGAGACATTACTGCTTAGGAATCTCAGAAATTTGTCCAACTATTTTGTAAAAGTGGTCCAATCTGGAAAATAAACATAATTTACATACACACTAACATCAGTTATGATCACTCAGGGATTCAAAATGTGTTCTCTAGTCCTTTCCTGGGTGTTTTAAACATGAAGGGATAGACTTTGGCATTTGATAAACTTACAATCTAAGTAATCTAGGGCAAGTCCTCAACAACCCTTGGCCCAGTTTCTGCATCTGTAAGGTGGACATAGTACAGTACTCCCCCTTATCCTTAGGAGATATGTTCTAAGACTCCCAATGGGTGCCTGAAATTACGGATAGCACTAAATCATATACAGAGGGTGCCAGAAAAAGGTATACACATTTTAAGAAAGAAAAAAACTATATTAAAATTGTAATAATATATACCAATAACAAAAGATGAATACAAGTCATGTGTATACCTTTTTTTGGGACCCCCGGTATATTTTTTTTTCTGTTTGTGTCTTCCACCCACAAATGTAATAATGTCTTTTTCATCTTAATTAAGCACTTATCACACACTTGAGGCACAACGGCAAAAACTAGCATGAATTTCTTTTTCCTTCTTCACAACTTCATGGATAGAAGATTCATTTTTACCACAGATCTTAGCAACCTCAGCCTATAAGTTTTTTCTCTTTATCAAATGGAAGAACTTTCACCTTTTCACTTAAAAGGAAGCACTTTACAGCTTCTCTTTGGCATATGTGAATCGCCAGCATCACTACTCTTGTGCTTTGGGGCCATTATGTAAAAAAAGGGTTACTTGAACACAAGTACTGTGATACCATGACAATTGATCTAATAATTGAAAGGATTACTAAGTGACTAACGGGTGGGGAGCATATATAGTGTGGATCTGCTGAACAAAGGGATGATTCACATCTTGGGTGGGACAGAGTGAGATTTCATGATGCTATTTAGAAAGGTGCACAATTTAAAACTTAAGAATTGCTTACTTTGGGAATTTTACATTTAATATTTTCAGATCGCTGATGACTTGGGTAACTGACACCATGGAAAGTGAAACCTCAGATAAGGGGGTACAACTCTAATGCCTACTTCTGAGGATGTTTGTGAGAATTTCATGGGATGATGTGTGCCAAGAAGTGTGTCTGGAAAGTAGTAAGTGCTCAATAATTGTTAGTTCTCCTTTCCTCCTCTAGAAGTTTTGTGTATAAAGCAGCTTCTTTAATCTTTAGATCCTAGAAGGTATGAGACTACAGAGAAAGCTAGTCTGTTGAACTGACATCTGAAAGACTTTTTACTAGCGTCCATGTACTTGCCTTGTTTATAAACATGCAGGGATATGTTTTTAGAGAGGCTGGGATAGTTCAGTGGTTTTCAGCTTTCAAACACCTGAAGTCCTTGTTAAAAATGCAAATTCCTGGAATGCATCCCCAGAAATTGTGAGTTGATCTGGAGTGGAACCCAGGAATTTGCAGTTTAGGCAGTAACCCAAGTTATTTTGATGCAGCCAGTCCAAACACCACAAAATTTGAAAAACTCTGGTATCATTCAAAGACTACTGGTTCTAATTCTTTCTCTGTCTCTGACTTGGAAAAATCCTTTAGCTTCTTTGCATTTCTATTCCCTCTCCTACAAAACAGATGAATTATCCTGGCTTATTTTGCATATGAGTTGTGAGACTCTAATCTTTTTGCTCTCCTACAAACCTATCATGCAATATCTTCTTGTCTACCAGAAAAAAATTAAACCTTTCAGCAAGGTAGACAGGGGCCTCTGTGATCTGGCCCTTGTCTGCCTTTCCAGCTTCATTGCTTGGCATCCTAAAGCCATTCTCTAAACTTCCATATCTTTACACATGCTGTTCCCTCTGTCTTGAAAGCCCTTCTCTTTTGTCCATCAGGTGAATGCATACCCAATCTTTGAAACTCAGTGCAAGCATCACCTCTATAAAATCTTTCCTGATACTTGTATTAGATTATACATTTAATCTCTGCAACAGAAACCCAAATAACCACCGGCTTCAATAAAACAGAACTTAATTTCTCATATAGAGCTACCTGTTGGCATAGTAGCTCTCCTCTACAAAGTCATCAGGCACTCAGACTCCTATTTTAGGCTGCATTTCAGGGCTTTGCTCTTGTCAGCGTAGTTCAAGGTAGCTTACCACCATGTCCATTTCCAGTCAGTGGTTAGGTAAATAAAGAGGAAAGCGAGGGCACGCCGCCAATTCCTTCCAAGGACATGACCTGAAAGATGCACACATTACTTTTGCTGACATTCCACTGGCCCGAACTTAGTCACGTGGCATACTTAACAGCAAAGGGGATTGGTAAATGTGTCCAGCTAAAATTCAAGGGAACTATTACTATAAAAGAAGGGGAGACTGGGTAGTGAGGAACAATTAGCAGTCTCTGCTACAAACCTCTACCCCGTGACCCCTTCACCAACTAATGCATACATGCATTCATTCATTATTTAAACAAGTATATATTAAATTCTTACTGTGTACCTGGCACTACGCTCAGCCCTAGTAGTAAAAAATTAATACATAGAAACAATCAGGGACCTTACCCTTAAGAAATTAATGGATAGATATACTTGTATTTTGGCACCCTTCAATTTTTATTATAAATGTTTGTGTACACATCTGTATTCACCCTCCTTCTGTCATCTTTCTACCTGCACTACCCAAACAACATACACACTCTAAGATAGTTTTATTATATTTTTTATTTTTCTGATATATCTTTTTATTTCCAGATGCTAGCAAAATATCACTGTCTTTCACAAACACACACATGCACTGAAGATTATAAATATAAGGTATCTTAGGGGTCATGATGCATTTTCTTATACATCGCACAGTACACAGCACAATCTGCTGAAAATGTGAAGTAAAAGCTAACTATAAACTTAAAATACTATTGTCTTTCAAAATATAATTTGAGGAGCTTCTTGGTTTTTTTTATGATAGATTAATGTCAGTGACAATTCATTGTATTGAAAACAAGATTTAATGAGAGTCTCTACCCCCAAAGTAAAGCTTAGGCAAATAGTTGTGGGTTAGTGAATTCATGGTTACTATTTACTCTAATCATGTGTATAATCCTGCCTCCTTACCTCTTACTCCTGGCTTATGGCCTCATTGTAGAGGGGAAGGCCCCAGGGGAGCATATTAAATCTCAGTGAGCACTGTACAAAAGCAACCATAGAGATAGATGTGTGGATTCAACTGTTGTGAAAACAGAATAGTAAAAAATGTAGTCTTTAAGTGGCACTCTGTAATATGATCAGAACATTAAATCAGAGATGGAATAGAAAATTAAAAGTTAGGTACCTAGAGCTTTCTGCCAAAGGGACTTAAAGGAGAGATTTTCTTTCCCCAGGGATAGAGTATTTGAAATATTTGTAAATTAACATTCCTTGCATTTGACTCAGCATAGCCCCTGTATGTTAGCCAAGTAGGTATTCAAGATACATTTGCTCACTTGCTTCAATTTGATCAGAGCATATAAAACTGCTCAGTTCCACTAAAGCCTGTTACAGAAATGTAAAAAGCATACGAAACAAAAATAATTTTAACTTGTGTTCTTAAACATTGGGACTCAATTTATAATTATTGCAATTTAGAAATAGTACAGTCAGTTTTCTTTGCAACAATTCTTTCCCTTATTCTTTTTCATTTCATAAAGTTATCTAGTGTTCTCTTGTGAACCTAAACTATACCCAACTTGGAACTTTGAGACACTAGAACAGGCCTGAGGATCCTCAAGGCCTCAAGAGTAATGTGTCTTTGGCTAAAAACTTTCCCCTTAAGATCAGGAACAAGACAAGGCTGCCCACTTTCACCACTTCTATTCAACATAGTTCTGGAAGTTCTAGCCACAGCAGTCCAACAAGAAAATGAAATAAAAGG